GCTCATGCAGCAGGATTTTGGAAAAGCAGTAGAGCATCAATGCTCAGTAGAAGGCTACTCATACGAACGCCCATTCCTTCATGTCACTGAAATGATTCTGACAGGTGTGAATCTGACAGGTCCCAAACCACATGTAAGTAAGCGCTTTCTCCTGTTTCCATGCGCATCAGGAGCTTAGAAGATTTTTCTCCTTGATTCCAGTTCCCTACTGCTTTTCCACACTTCTGGCACAGTTCCCCAACAAAATACCATGGACAATAGGCAAAAGACAGTATGCATCATATAGTGGGCTCCATTATAGTTCGTATGTGAATTGTTTTAGAAGTGTGTAGAAACAGGCGGGAATGAATGAAGTCCTATATGTGATGCCTGTGATGAAGTCCTATCTACATTGGCTCAGTGCTTTGAAATCTTGCATAGGAGGCTCCAGGCCTTCTAAGGCCACATACAAGTCATGGGATTACATAACATTGTGCCATGGGCAGTTAAAGCGGTGTCAAGCTGCATTAATCCTACATTGTGGATCCACCCTCAGGCTGAATTTGGTTCTTTGTCTACTCACCTCAGATTATATTGTTGAACTAGGACCGTGATCAGGACCAATTGTGATAAGTCTCAAGGCTGGCATTTGCAACAACTGACCTTTGCTGTTTTGCTTCTCAATTTTATTGCTTTCAAGTGGGCAGTTGCACAAAATGAAATGTAAAGATGTCTCGGGTGGCACAGTGGGTTAAACCCCTGTGCCGGCAGGACCGAAGACCGACAGGTCACAGGTTCGAATCCGGGGAGAGTGCGGATGAAGTCCCTCTATCAGCTCCAGCTTCTCATGCGGAGACATGAGAGAAGAAGCCTCCCACAAGAATGGTAAAAAATATCAAAACATCAGGGCGTCCCATGGGCAGTGACCTTGCAGACGGCCAATTCTCTCACACCAGAAGCGACTTGCAGTTTCTCAAGTTGCTCCTGACATGACAAAAAAAAGTTCTCATTCTTGCAGCTTATGAGCTAGGACTTGCAAGGTTTTTGTCTCAGCAAGCATCCAAGYTGCTGGGAGGAGAAAGGCACCATTTTAGCCTACCAGAAATGGTGCACAGCAYAGATTTCATCTCCATCCCATCACCATCACTAGCAGAAGTTGACCACTGAGTTGCTCTATAGGGCTGAAAAGGACAAAACTAGATCCTTCAGAACAATTTTAGGATCTTCAAATTTCTTTGCATYTCAGTGAAACTGTGTAATAAYTTGGCCTACTAATGTCTTCAACTTGTGCTCTAGTCTTCTTAGGCTGGATCTACACTACCATACAATCAGGTTTCGGAATGCAGATTAACTGCTTTAAACTGGATTAGATCAGTCTACGTTGCAATATAATCCAGTTCAATGTGTTTAATCTGCATTTAGAAACAGGATTATATGTAGATGGAGCCTTAGAGGCATATGGTTGAGCACCAATGATAGTCTCTTGATATCCTCTAGGGCAGCGTTTTTCAACCTGGGGGTTGGGACCCCTGGGGGGGTTGTGAGGGGGTGTCAATGGGGTCGCCAAAGACCATCAGAAAARACAGTATTTTCTGTTGGTCATGGGCGTTCTGTGTGGGAAGTTTGGCTTAATTCTATTGCTGGTGGGGTTCAGAATGCTCTTTGATTGTAGGTGAACTATACATCCCAGTACCTACAACTCCCAAATGTCAAGGTCTATTTCCCCCAAACTCCACCAGTGTTCTCATTTGGACATATTCAGTATCCGTGCCAAGTTTGGTCCAGATCCATCATTTTTTGAGTTCACAATGCTCTCTGGATGTAGGTGAACTACAACTCCAAAACTCAAGGTCAATGCCCACCCAACCCTTCCAGCATTTTATGTCAGTCATGGGAGTTCTGTGTGCCAAGATTGGTTCAGTTCCAAGTTGGTGGAGTTCAGAATGTTCTTTGATTGAAGGCAAACTATAAATCCCAGCAACTACAACTCCTAAATGACAAAATCAATCCCCTCCAAACTCCACCGGTATCGGGTATTTGTGCCAAATTTGGTCCAGTGAATGAAAATACATCTTACATATCAGATATATATATATTATGATTCATAACAGTAGTAAAATTACAGCTATGAAGTAAAAAGGAAAATAATGTTATGGTTGGGGGTCACCACAACAGGAGGAACTGTATTAAGGGGTTGCGGCATTGGGAAGGTTGAGAAACACTGCTCTAGGGTTTGGTTCCAGAATCCCCCATAGATATCAGTGGATACTCAAGTCTCATTACATGTAGTGAGATAGTCAAATGGTGTGTGTCCCGTATACAAAATGGCATGATCAAGGTTTGCTTTTAGACTACGCGGATATGGATTTTATTGGGATCCAGTCTGTCTTGGTTTGTGTTCCCGCTTTGCAACAGCATGGAGAGCCAGGAGTTAAAAGGAAGGGGTGGCTTGCACATCTGTTTTGCTCACATCCCTCTGCTTCACACACACTCTCTCACACACATATGTATTGTACACATACTAGCCTTGTCCAAGTTTATATGCAACACCTGGCTTTGGAAATTTAGCCTTATATGGAGACGTGCGTGAAACGGCAAGTGGAGTCGGTTGGGCCAGAGCCGAAAACTGAGAGTTTCTTGTCCTGAGGAAACAGCTCCTTCTACCGGTCATGAGATGCATGTTCCCTGCTCTGAGACTTTAGGAGAGCACTTCTAAACCTACCAGTTCCTCTCTTGCTATTATTATGAATAGTCATGCAAATATCTGATATGCAGCATGTATTTTCATTCGGTGGACCAAATTTGGATATGTAGATACTTACTTAGGCGATCCCTCGTAGTCTGAGGATGATGGTCCTCCAAGGTCGGTGTTCCGGCAGTTGTTCCGTAGGTGACTGTGGAGCCCTATTCTTGATCTGCATCTTTTCCCACAGTGAGGGCATCGGTTTCCAGGTGAAAGGCAGTCCCGGTCAGGGTTGGCTTGACGTGCCTTCCTCTTGGCACGTTTCTCTCTGTAGATATATAATCCATGAATACAGAGGACTGGAATATTGTGTCCAATTATTAGACCACATCTGGAATATTGTGTCCAATTCTGGGCACCACAATTCAAGAGAGATATTGACAAGCTGGAATGTGTCCAGAGGAGGGCGACTAAAATGATCAAGGGTCTGGAGAACAAACCCTATGAGGAGCGGCTTAAGGAGCTGGGCATGTTTAGCCTGAAGAAGAGAAGGCTGAGAGGAGATATGATAGCCATGTATAAATATGTGAGAGGAAGCCACAGGGAGGAGGGAGCAAGCTTGTTTTCTGCTTCCCTGGAGACTAGGACGCGGAACAATGGCTTCAAACTACAAGAGAGGAGATTCCATCTGAACATGAGGAAGAACTTCCTGACTGTGAGAGCCGTTCAGCAGTGGAACTCTCTTCCCCGGAGTGTGGTGGAGGCTCCTTCTTTGGAAGCTTTTAAACAGAGGCTGGATGGCCATCTGTCAGGGGTGATTTGAATGCAATATTCCTGCTTCTTGGCAGGGGGTTGGACTGGATGGCCCATGAGGTCTCTTCCAACTCTTTGATTCTATGATTCTATGAACTGCATTTGTCAAGTTACACTAGGTTACAGTTGATATAGATCTGTGGATCCTGAATCCATGTATATGGAGGATTCGTTTTTTGTCTAAAGTTACACTAAATGAAAGTTGATATAGATCTGTGGATACAGAATCCATGAATACAGAGGGCTCTGAGTCCCCTGAGGGGTGAGAAGAGCGAGATGGAAATGAAGTAAATAATAATAAAAAACAATAATGTGTCATGAGGAAGAACTTCCTGACTGTGAGAGCCGTTCAGCAGTGGAACTCTCTGCCCCGGAGTGTGGTGGAGGCTCCTTCTTTGGAAGCTTTTAAACAGAGGCTGGATGGCCATCTGTCAAGGGTGATTTGAATGCAATATTCCTGCTTCTTGGCAGGGGGTTAGACTGGATGGCCCATGAGGTCTCTTCCAACTCTTTGATTCTATGATTCTATGATTCTAAGTTACACTAGGTCAAAGTTGACATAAATCTGTGGATATAGAATCTGTGGATAGAGTCAACTATATATCTGAAGTTATACTGATATAGATCTGTGGATATGGAATCCAAGAATACAGGGGGCTAACTGTGTATATGGTTATACTATGTAAGAGGTGGTATAGGACCACTATAGTAGTGGTTCTCAACTTGTGGGTCCCCAGGTGTTTTGGTCTACAACTCCCAGAAATCCCAGCCAGTTTACCAGCAGTTAGTTATACTAACTAATTTATTAATGGGAGTTGAAGGCCAAAACATCTGGCGACTCACAGATTGAGAACCACTGCCCTATAGGATCCCAGTGCATGTTCCTATAAGATATGGCACAGATATTTTTCCTCTCTGCCCACATGCAAATGGGAGCCTAGATTCCCACTGCAAAGAGTGCATGGAATTACTTGTCCGAACGCATCTTCCCCTATGAACCATCATGGAGATTTAGATCCTCCGGGGAGGCCCTGCTTTCCGTCCCGCCATTGTCACAGGCACGTTTGGTGGGGACAAGAGACAGGGCCTTCTGGGTGATTGCTCCCCGGCTGTGGAACTCCCTTCCTGGTGAGATCAGGTCGGCCCCCTCCCTCCTGTCCTTTAAAAGGATGGTAAAAACTTGGCTGTGAGACCAAGCTTTCGGGACAGGGCAATGAAGTGGCAGTGGGAAAGATGACAGGGCCAATTGGATTTGATGTGGATGGCTAGGATGGTTTAAAATGTATTTTAATATTTTGATAAATGTTTATGTATTGTATGTGAATCTGTGCCCCGGCATTGAATGTTTGCCGTGTATATGCTGTGCTCCGTCATGAGTCCCCTTTGGGGTGAGAAGGGTGGAATATAAATGTTTTAAATAAATAATAAATAAATAAGGGCAACCAGGAAAGCAAAGAGGGGCGAAATCCCTGCAGGACTTTCATTTTCCTCACTTGTTGCTGTCTTCTCTCCTTTCTTCTCCCAGTGACATCCGGGTGCAGAATCATGAAGTGCAATTCTGAGTTCCTGGCAGCCACATCATCAGGGCCACACCACCTGGGTGCCGAGGACACCCCTGAGTTCTGCACCGCCCTCCGGGCCTACGCCCATTGCACCCACCACACGGCCCGCACCTGCCGGGGGGACTTGTTCTACCACTCCGCCGTCCACGGCATCGACGACCTCATGGCCCAGCACAACTGCTCCAAGGAAGGGCCCACCTCCCCACCCCGGGTCCGACCCCTGCCCCGTGCCGATAGCCAGGAGCGCTCTGACAGCCCTGAGATCTGCCATTATGAGAGGAGCTTCCACAAGCACTCTCCACCTCCCAACTACACCCATTGCGGGCTCTTCGGGGATCCCCATCTGAGGACTTTTTCGGACAGTTTCCAGACATGTAAAATCCCAGGGGCGTGGCCTCTCATAGACAATAGCTACCTAAACGTCCAGGTCACAAACACACCTGTCCGACCCGGTTCCATGGCCACAGCCACCAGCAAGGTAAGCATTGAGAACAAATTGGTCATTTTCGCTCACTCTCTACAATCAAAATTTGCAAATTGTGCTACATTTGGGTGAAATGAAAGCAAAATGGCATTCTTGCTCAGCTGTCTTCAATAAGGACACAAAGAAACGCTGGAATTTGCAACTGCAGTTATGAATACATAATCTAGAGTAGGAAAAGTGCACATAGGAGGCTGGCTTGGGTGCCAAAAATAACTCATTCTGTGTGAAAAATTCACAAAATCTTTGTGTGTAGAAATTTGTGCAAAAGGTTTCCTTCACAGAAAGCAGAATTTTCTGCAAAGAATTCCCCCCCCCCCACACACACACACACACACAATACATTCTAGATCACAAATGTATTTTCTGCTCCTAAAATCCATGAATTTGTAGTGAGGAAGGAAATGATAGTTTTTTCTCCAAGACACTGAAGTTTCTGAAAGTTTCCATTCCTAGTAGTTCCACTTCCAACCTACTAGTGGAGCTGTTTACTTCAAGAATGCTGCCCTCTGGTGGGCATTCTCTCCCCAATTTATTTTATTTTACTTTATTTACTATCCTGTCTTTTCTCTATTTGGAGACCCAAGGCAGCTCACATAATTAAAAAGCAATATACAGTACAATCCCTAAATCCACAGAGGGTGTGAAAAATAGCCAGTCTTGTCAAAATAAAGGACTTCTGGCCCAAAAATACCAAAGAGTCATGCTGGAGAAACTAGAAAACGCTTATTTTGTCAGACATAGATAAATGAAACAATAGATATGGGGTTTACTGTAATTGTATATACACAGCAACTATTCTTGGGAAAATTTCTAAAAACATAATGAAGGTGTTCTTTCCCTTTTTTGCATTAATCTTAATTTGCTAAGCCTTCACAGAATACATTTTTCCTATTATGAATACACCTTTCTCAAAGAATTCATTTCAAAATGTATAGGTAGGTAGTCCCCTGACATTAAGTCGAGTCATGTCTGACTCTGGGGTGTGGTGCTCATCTCCATTTCTAAGCCGAAGAGCCAGCGTTGTCCGTAGACACCTCCAAGGTCATGTGGCCGGCATGACTGCATGGAGCGCCATTACCTTACCGCCGGAGTGGTACCTATTGATCTACTCACATTTGCATGTTTTCGAACTGCTAGGTTGGCAGAAGCTAGGGCTGACAGCGGAAGCTCACGCCGCTCCCCAGAATCGAACCTGCGACCTTTCGATCAACAAGCTCAGCAGCTCAGTGCTTTAACCCACTGCGCCACGGGGGGCTCCCTTCAAAACGTATAGCATGACCTATATATCCACAAAACCTGCAGCTTCATTTATCCACTTCCAACAAAATATTATCTCTCTCAAACATTTTCATTTGGGGAGCCCTTTTTGAAGCAATGGTTTCTCATGAAACCCCAATATATGTTTATATATTATATGTTATATTGTATATAATGTATATATTAGGGGTGTGCAATTTTTAGTTAGTCATTGTTAAATTCATACTGACAACATAATATCTGATGCACAAGAATAGCCGGCACCAAAAACATAAGGATCGAAATTTACCCAATGCTTTTTTGTTTGCATTTTGTAAACCATGGAAGCCTCCCAAAGTCAGTTTCATGTTCAGCGCAAGGGTAAAAAGCAAAGCCAAAAAGGCTGCATTTCCTCTTTAAATGAATGGCCTCTCGCTCTTAGGAGAGGGAAGCAGCAGGGAGAAAGCAGAGTTCACTGGGAAAGAGACAAAGAAAGCACAGAATGCTGGGAAATGTAGTTTGGAAATGTGAGAAGCCCTATGGCAGAGAATGCAAAAGGCCCTGCCCTGAACTACATTTCCCAGAATTCTGCTCAGCATCAGAAAGTCCGAATCAGGAGAGGGAGAGATGTGTCCGTCCATCGCAGCAACAGCCAGAGTTCTAATGAATGGCTGAACCTGCAAAGAGGAGGACTAGCTGAGACTTCTAGTAAGTAAACTTCTGTGCTGGGCTGGGCAAAAATATCTCAATGGAAGCTCTATTGGTTAACATGAGAGAAAGACAATCAATTAAATAGATGTGACTTTTTGTGGATGCTTTGATTGTGGTTTTCCTTCTTGGCTGAAGGGGGTTGGACTGCACTTTCACCAAAATGCTGTTAAGTTTATGTTGATGAAAATTGTTCTTCATTTTAAATATTATATTGTTCTTTCTTTTCCTTTTTTAATTTTTTTTATTTTTTTGGCAGTACAAATGAGATCTGTGCAACGTTCATAGGAATTTCTTCATTTTTTTCAATTAGTTCAAACAAACACTCTCATCCAGCTGCCACTGGCCTGGCCAGTCTTTCAAATTTTAAAACACAATGTGTCAAAAAGTTTGCCTCTTCCTGAGATAGATAGATAGATAAATAGATAGATAGATAGATAGATAGATAGATAGATAGATAGATAGATAGATAGATAGATAGAGATAGATAGATAGATAGATAGATAGATAGATAGATAGATAAACATGTCTTGGGGATCCATGAGAAACTTTTGCTTCAAAAAGGGCTCAATGGTTGAAAAGGTTTGAGAAGCCCTGCTCTAGATGTACCACTAGAGGGTCCTAAGGACTACATTGGAGGGTGGAGACCAAGTGTGAGATGGGTTTGCTTTGAATTTGGCATCTTTGTCCCACTGAGTAACTGTTTCCTCTTTCATCTCATCTTTCCCCACAATTTCCTCCTTATGCAGCTCACCATCATCTTCAAAAGCTTCCAGGAATGTGTGGAACAGAAAGTCTACCAGGCGGAGATGGATGAACTCCCTGCTGCCTTCGCTGATGGCTCAAAAAATGGTGGTGACAAACACGGGGCCAACAGCTTGAAGATTACTGAGAAAGTCTCTGGCCAGCACATAGAGATCCAGGCCAAGTACATCGGCACCACCATTGTGGTGAGGCAGGTGGGACGCTATCTGACCTTCGCTGTGCGGATGCCTGAGGAGGTGGTGGAAGCAGTAGAAGACGGAGACAACCAGGGCCTTTACCTCTGTCTCCGGGGCTGTCCGCTCAACCAGCAGATAGACTTCCAGGCTTTCCATTCCACCACCCAGAGCACGGAAAACTGGGCTCGGCGAAAAGGCCCCAGCCTTCCCTCTTCACCGGAGGCTTTCACCTATGAGTCGGCCATGATTAAGTGCCGCGAGAAGCTCCCGGTGGAGGACTTGTACTTCCAGTCCTGCGTCTTTGACCTTCTGACGACAGGCGACGTCAACTTCACCCTTGCAGCTTACTATGCTTTTGAAGATGTCAAAATGCTCCACTCCAGCAAGGACAAGTTGCATTTGTATGAAAGGACACAAGCGTTGGAGCCGGGCAACATGGCCACTTCAGAACATTTTACGTCTCCTCTTCTGTTGCTTTTTCTGGTGGTCTTGACATGGTTGAGCCAGTGTCCAGCCCTGTCCCTATAAACCCAACATCACAGTAGACCTTTGAAGTCTGCAAAACCAAGGGACCAGCAGATGAAAGTGTTGTGTTAGATTAAGTCAGAGGCCGAGGCTTGCACACTGGAGTTTTGTTGCCCCCTTCTCTCCCTGCAGAAAACCCAACATGTTGAATGGCATTTGGAACTTCAGGAGTACCGATGTTCTCTCTTGACTGTTGAATCTTCTCTACTAGATTAGGATCCCAAAGTAGCTCCCTTTCCCAGTTCCCTTCATCCTGTTGCTCTCACTCCTAGCGCCTCCTTTCGTTGTGCTACGAGTGGTTTGTGGTGATTGTGACATTGGCATTTGTGTAAAGTCAGATATTTTTGGAGGGCTAGCACCAGAGGAAAAAAAATGGCTGGAGTGCAACTGATGTCAAGAAATACAGACAGACATAAAGTAAGCAAAACCCCATTGAAAACAGTCAGATGCACAGTAGAAAGAACTTTGGCACCTTTGTGGTTGTTGGTCCATCGGATGTACCTGCTTCTGCCAGGGAGTGCCAACTGCTCTCTGAGAAACCAGATTGCACATTATTTCCTTGTTACTTTGGAACACTTGGTGTTGAGTGTGCAAACAGCTGCTGATGCACACCTATTCTCTATCTTTTCACTTGTGCAATTGTTGGTTGTTGCCTTTGCATATGTTTTGGGTTATGAAACTGAAGCTGGGGGCATTTTCTTGTGTTAAGGCAATGGTTGGGCAAAGGTTGGCCTGGAGTCAACAGGAGACTCCCCAAAGTCTTTATGGTCCTTGACTCCTCCGGACTCCCTCAACTGCTTCAACTCTCTCTCTCACACACACAAACACAATGCTTGACTTGCTTTTCCTCAAGGTGTAACACTATAACTCTGAAAAGGGTTTCTGTGCCCTTTTTATGTCTCACTGATCGAGAAAAATATGTCCTTTTTTCAAAACCAGGCATGGATTTCTGGCCATTTCAGGTATTGTTTTGAGGCTTTGGGAGCTGCCTTTGTGGCCCACCCCTGGATTTCCGACTCTTATATTTCATTTCCAAAGCTCGTCTCTCATTCCCTGGCCTTATACTAGTCCTTTCAAAGGGTTAAACCCTCCTAAACAGCAGGTGTAGAGCTTTCCGGCAGGTAATTCACAATACATCATAAAACTGCCAATCCTGAGACTCTTAATGATCGAATGTTTGCAGTCAAAATGGTCTCAAACTACTACAGTGGTGTATCTAAAGACACACCTTTGGTACATGTATAGTAGTTTGCTCAAACCGCTGTCCCATTATGTATAAGCAAGTATGCCAACCCAAACATTTTACATAAGGGATACTCAACCTACATAGTCAAAATATAGTTTGTTGTTATCCATTGTTTCAAGTATTTGCTGAGGAAGTCTTGGGAGGGATATATGTCCAGCAGATCTGAGGTCATACTATATGTGTTTGTGGAGAGAGGCTATATCTGGGTCTAAATGAAGTGTCGCGGCAAAGCTCTATTTTCCCCATAAAATTTTCAGATGGCAATGTTGGGCCCCAAAGGCAATTGTCTGCTAAAGTGGCCTTGGATCCCTTATTTTGAGTAGCACAATTTCACTGCCATGGCTCAATTCTATGGAATTTTGGGGATTGTAGTTTTCCACAGTCTTTAGCCTTCTCACTCAAAAGTGCTGGTGCTTCATCAACTAGTTCCCATGATTCTATAGCACTGAGCCAAATGGCATTCATTCTACAGTGTAGATCCAAGAGTGTTTGGCCTGTGTTCACGTTCATGCCTAGAATCCGGTTGGCAGCTTACACCTCTGCAAATCAATCACCCTTTGTGGAAGAGAGGTCGAAGGTTATCACCCAAGTGTTGCATCCAATTCGAGATGGCAAAAGAAGGCTTGTGCAGGTTGACCTTGGGTTCCACAGTGCTGCAATTCAACACAAAGGATGTGTAACACCAATGGTGCAAGATTTGCACCACCCAACCCTGATATAAGACTTGAGCAAATGCATTGTTGTGGATGAACAAGACAAGTCTGGAGACTGAAGAGGAAAGCCCAGGGATATTGTGGAGAGTACTATCTGTCCATCCATCCACCCATCCATCTTTCTTCTATTACCTACCCTTATCTATATCATCTATCTGCTTTTTCTGCTTATCTATCATGCCTGTCTATCTGTCTTCTATTATCTATCACCTCCATCACCTATTTTATTCTTCTATAATCTATCATCTCCGATCTATTGCATTCTATCTATCTATCTATCTATCTATCTATCTATCTATCTATCTATCTATCTACTATTACCTACCCTTATCTATATCATCTATCAGCTCTTTCTGCTTATCTATATCTTCTATTATTTATCTTCTCTATCACCTATTTTATTTTTCTATAATCTATCATCTCCAATCTATTGCATTTTGCCTGCCCATCTATCTATCTCCTATCTATCTCCTGTCTGTCTGTCTGTCTGTCTGTCTGTCTGTCTGTCTGTCTATCTATCTATCTGTCTATCTATCTATCTATCTATCTCCTATCTGTCTGTCTATCTATCTCCTATCTGTCTGTCTGTCTATCTATCACCCATCCTTATCTATATCATCTATCTGTTCTTTCTGCTTATCTATCATGCCGTCTGTCTGTCTTCTATTATCTATCACCTCTGTCACCTATTTTATTTTTCTATAATCTATCATCTCCGATCTATTGCATTTTGTTTGTCTYTCWYTCTTATCAATCTATCATCTATCTTKTYTTACCTACCCTTTTCTATYTCATCTATCAGCTCTTTCTGCTGATCTATCATCTATATTTTCTATTATTTATCACCTCTACCTATTTTATGTTTCTATAATCTATCATCTCTGATCTATTGCATTCTGTCAGTCTGTCTATCTATCTATCTATCTATCTATCTATCTATCTATCTATCTATCTATCTATCTATCTATCTTATATTACCTACCCTTATCTATATCATCTATCTGCTCTTTCTGCTTATCTATCATGCCTATCTATCTTCTATTATCAATCAGATTTATGTTTCTATCATCTATCATCTCAATCTATTACATTTTATCTTATCTATCTATCTATCTTATCTATCTATCTTCTATTACCTACCCTTATCTATATCATCTATCAGCTCTTTCTGCTTGCCTATCTATATTCTAGTAGCTATCCCCTATTTTATATTTCTAATCTATCATCTCTGATTATCTATCATTATCTTCTATTACCTAACCTTATCTATATCATTTGTCAACTCTTTCTGCTTATCTATCATCTATCTTCTATTATCTGTCACCTCTACCCATCACCTATTTGATGTTTCCTTAATCTAATCTATCATCTCTTTCAGCTGTCAATATCTATAATTATCTATCTACCTATCTCTTATCTATTTACTTATCACTATCATCTATATCTATGTGTCTGCCCCTTGGGTAAGTCCTACTCATACAGCGTTACCACCAAGTAGCAACAAAATGCCTCAGTAAATCTTTCCAAGAAAACCATTTGTTGGATAGACTTGGAAGCACAGCCATAACAAAACAAGGACTTCTCGATGATGCCCATTTTTCACATTCTCATCCTCTCAAATTGCTCTCTCCGCCTTCTCCCAGCCATTGCAATGTTTTTTGTGTTCAGATAATTAAGGATGCACTTTACTTTTTTCCCTCGATTATGCTTAGGACCGGTTGGTTTGTTTCAGTCAGGCTTCGCCAAGTTCTGGCTTGGTGAGCAACACTAAGTCAATGAAGACCCATCAAGAGAATTGAAAGCAAAACTGGAGGGGAAGCATTCGCCAATCTCACATCCCCCTCCCCCTCTTCTGACTTCTTTTGTGCATGTAGAACTTTTGTGGGGTGTCGATGTACATACTGTAAATTATTTATTGACGAAAATGCAAGTAAAACTTTTTTTTTCTTCCCAACCCGGTGTGGCTGAATGTATATTTTGGGTTTGTGGCATCATTTTGGATAGGAATGCGCAGAAACTACCATATGTGCGATTCACAGGGATCACGATGGGAAATGAGGATTTCCACCCCAGTTGTTCCAGCAATGCATGCTGAGGGGTAGAATCAGGCTGGATCTACACTGCCACCTAGTCCAGATTATCACAGCAGGAAGTCTACATTATTTGCCTTGACAATATTACTAATACACTTTGTTTTTATTCTGCCCTATCTCCTTGAGTGGATTATAGAACACATATACGGCAAACATTAAATGCCGTTATACAATTAATGAAGACAGAGAGTGCATAAACAGAGATCAAGGTTGTGCTCAACTCCGACCTCGGGGAGGTGCTGTTGTTCCGTTTTCCATGCCAAGGAACCTGTTGTCCATGGAAGCCTTCCTGATCGAATTGCTGGCATGTCTGAATGGGCGCCTTTTTACTTCCCCATCAAAGTGGTACCTATTGATCTGCTCACATTACTGTTTTCAAACTGCTAGGTAAGCAGATGGCACTCCAAGCAGTCATGCCAGCTACATGACCTTGGAGGTGTCTATGGACAACGCTGGCTCTTTGGCTTAGAAATGAAGATGAGCATCAACCTCCAGAGTCGGACATGACTGGACTTAATGTCAGGGGAAAACCTTTACTTAATGTCAGGGGAAAACCTAGGTAGGCAGAAGCTAGGGCTGATGGCGGGAGCTCACCCCGACCTGTGGAGCCCCCAGTGGCGCAGTGGTTTAAACCCCTGTGCCAGCAGGACTGAAGACCAACAGGTCACAGGTACAAATCTGGGGAGAGGCAGATGAGCTCCCTCTATCAGCTCCAGCTCCTCATACGGGGACATGAGAGAAGCCTCCCACAAGGATGATAAAAACATCAAAAAATCATCCAGGCATCCCCTGGGCAATGTCCTTGCAGATGGCCAGAATTCTGGTGTGAATTCTCTCACACCAGAAGCAACTTGCAGTTTCTCAAGTAACTCCTGACAAACAAAAAACAAAAAACCCGACCTGTGGCTTGAACTGCCAACCTTCCAGCTGGCAAGATTTTCTACAGCTGGCAGTTTAACCCACTGTACTGAACTGAATTATATGAGTCTACACCGCCGTATAATCCAGTTCAAAGCAGATAATCTGGATTTTATACGGCAATGGAGATCCAGCCTCAGTCTCTTATCAGACTATACAATTATAGCATTATGATTCTACTTTGATTGGAAAATCACATTCGAAAAGTTGGTATCAATGGCTGCACTTCAGTCTGGAAGGAGATCTCGAATGAAGTCTGTCTTAAGACCATTGTTTTCCAACATGTTTACCAACTATTTGCCCCCACAATGAGCTAAAACAGCACATTTGCCTCACCCTTCCAGTGAACATGTCAGCCAACATCCCAAACTGCAACAAACAACACAAAGGGCACGAGAGGTTTGTGAAAACATCCAACTCACATTTTAATATAGAAGAATCCAAAGTAAACCTGTTTTACAGCGTAAGAAAAAACTTTTTAATACATACTTTATAAACAACTTATTTACATCAGAAATCACTCGGACACTGGCAAAGCGTTGACACAAATATAAATTAATATGAATGACTGTTTTTGTTTTGTTTGTTTCGGTGACGGGACTGGCTTGTTTGTTTGTTTGTTTCCCCTCCAATAAGTCCATAGTTTTAATGAGCCAATGTTCTCCCAAGCTCTGGACATTGGATGGGGGAAATAGATAGTAGAGGACAAGACTGCTATGCGGAGGAAAGCTGGGGGCCACACGTTATTTTCTAATAAATCCCAAATTTATGGAGACTCCATCTCAACTGGTCAACAGTCCAACGCTCTTCCCAGACTTTTGGCTCATTGCAAACAGTACGTGTTTAAGTCTGCTCTTGGCAAAACAGCAGAAAAGGAAAGGTCAGCTTACCCCAAGATGTTTGAGTAGTTGGAAAGAGGAGGAAAGCCAAAATAAGTAACTTTGGAAACATGTCAGGGCTTCCCTCTGCTTTCCTGCCTCCTTCTCCTCTAGTGGTATGGACTTCCCATTGCTATTTATTTTTCTCTCCCAAGGTTGGTCTAGAATTAATGGTATGGAAACACTATAGATAGACATTTTTCTCATGTGTCTTTCCCTGTCTGTATAAAAGTACAAAACCCAATAAATATTCCCCTGCCCTTTAGGTAACATGCCATATTTGGGGAGGAGAAAAGCCACAGGTGAATTTCTTCCTTCCCAAAGACATACAGAGTCTTTCTCCAAAACACACCCCTCTCTCTTGATTTGTGCACAACTTGGAAACCTCCTTCCATTTGGGGCAAAATTCCTTCCCCATAATACTTTTTAGGACTGTTTTAAATGTAAGGTTTTCTTTACAAAAGCAACCATTTTTTATCTATCCTCTTGCGAACGGCAACATTATGGCACGGGAATACAAAGTTCATCATTGTAGTGACATTTCATGACAGAATGGCAGGAGAAATGCTCAAACGAACACATTCTTTACAAAGTGCAGAGTCTCTTTCTCTGTCCCTGCCTTCACAGTTTAAGTTCAGGGCAATGTGTAAGAAATTGACATTTTTTTAAAAAAAATCAACAACTGCCCTATGTGAAAATGAAAGGACCTTCAAAGGAAATACCACAGTGTCTTTTCTACCAACACAGTTCAGCGAAATGCGGCGAAACGTGGTTCCTGGAATGTGCAATCCCATGCGTCAACCCTGAAACCCTTCCAAACGCCGAGGGCAAAGCACTCAAAAGTTTGCACACCTTCTCCTTTGCAGGTCCATCCAACACTTAAGCCTTTTGGAAGCGGCCTAATCAAATGGTCCCAGCTCCTGCCCATTGGGCATAAAGTGCATAAGTGTGTGTTGGATGTGGAGCAGAGATTGTCTCTCATTTCGCAGGAAAACCGCAACAAATCTAGGGCTTCTCCCAAGCCAACCTATCAGCCTCAATCCATAGCTGGTTGTTGACAGAACACTTTGGAATAGCTTGGTGAGCTTCCTCTTTGGATATTTACCAAAACCAGGGACTGGCGTTCCAAAGAGGAGATTCCTGACTCCCCATGAATGGCCAGCAATGATCCTTTGGAGTTGCTACTTGTGAAAAAGTTTATGGAGTAGCTATTGCTCCAAGGATTCGCCAAATGCACAACTTTGGCCTTGTTGCGTCACCATACAAAATGGCATGTCCATCTGCTGCTCACATTGTCCCTTCGAAGGGTGAAGAAGTGCTTTCCGTATCCCAACATGACACGTAAGGGTGGGCATCTTGTGATTCGCACAAACACAAAGCATCAAACACAAGCTCTGTTCCGTTCCTTGAAGGGCATTTATTTCCCTGTGCAAACAAGTCTGTGCCAGACGCAAGGCTCTTTTCAAGAGTCCGAGAGGAAGAAACACAAGGGCACAAGAACCACCGGCAGGAAACGCCAATGATGCCCCATTGAGGCCCATCGCCCAGTCCTTCATTTCTATATGGAAGAGTAAAGAGGGGAAGAAGCGGGTGGAGGTGTCTTTTTTGGCATGTCCAGACAGGTCCCCAAAATTCAGAAGGTTTCTGACAATCTCAATAAAACCTATTCTTGTACTTGGTTCTTCTGAGAAATTGATATGAAGGGGATGAGAGAAAAATGCAGGAAAGAAAACAATAGGTTTGGGGAGTGTGGTGGGGCAGTGTCCCCATGTCTTTTTTTTCCTTTTGGGAGGCATCACAAACCAAAAGAGAAGTCCTATCAACAAAACTCTCTCAAGCCGACAGTGGGATCTTTCAAGGCAGCTGCGTCTCCTTCCTGCTCTGCCTTTCCTTCCACTTCTTTGGCTTCAAATCTCTTTCAGGGAGCCACTTGATGCCCCTTCTGTCTCCAGTTGCACCTTCAATCTTGACAGACTCCCTCAACTTTCTGCTTTCCGCTCCATCCATGTCCTCAGAAGTCACCCGTCCAAGCCACATGAAATATTCATGGGAGTCCAAGTCAGCCTTCTCAACATTCAAAAACAAAAACCAGCACTCGGGGGAGCCTTTCCTTCTCAATGGGCCCCAGGGGCATGCCGAGAAGCCAATGCCCAACATCCAGCCAGTGTGGGATGAAATCCAGATGCCCAACCGCGTCCAGCTCCGGTGTTGCTCCCCTTCAGAAACACGGAGCCAAGAGCAGCACATTCATAGTCTCTGGTCCTGGGCATATTGAACCAGTGGGCACTGCTGCTTGCCGCAGAACAAGTGAGCTCAGAGGTAGTTCTCCCTCTGGCAACATCTCAACTCCGGGTTCTTATGTTTTCCGGCTGCTCCAATTATATTCAGGATTGCTCTTCTGATCTAAAGACCTATCCAGGGGGGATCGGTGATCCATGGGAGACTTGGCATCATGTGGGGACTTCTGTGAAGGCGGGGAGCGAGGATCTGAGAGCTGGGAGTGAGGAGCAGAGAACATCTGCTTATAATCACTAGGCTTCTCCGGGTGGAAAGGGCGGTAGTGGTCTGAAGGCCCCTGGCCATGGTAGCCAACGGGGGGCCGATGGTCAGACATCCGCCTGAACTCTTGCTGGTGATAATTCTGGGAACGGAACTCTTCGGTTCTTCGCCGCTTGGAATCGTGGTGGTGCCTGGACGAGACAAGAGACAACCACAGAGAGGTATCAGAAGAAAGCACCCAAGAACATTGTCAGAAATATTAAAAATTAACTAGGCATTTATAATTACAAAAATGTGAGTCAAGCACTGAAAGGGTTAAATGAATGCAATGACTCAGGAAATGCTACCGCTCTATATAAGTAGGTGTGCCTGTAGCTTAGTAGCAGTTCAGTCTGAGCTAAACCTCAGTGGGAGAAAGATCTCAGTCTGTGAGAAGGCCTCACTATGTGAGGTAGGGTAGTTGTGTGTGTGTGTGTGTGCCTTAAAAAGTAACTTCCCCAAGCTCTTGGAGTGGAGGACATACAAACTTTGTTGACTGCTGAATCCTGAATACAACAGCCATTAATGCTCACCGGTCATAGTAGTCGCGGTGGCCCCGGTGGTCCCGGTCACTATTGTACTGTTCATAGGGCCGCTTGCGGGAGGGGTTGTTTGGCCGGTAGCTCCCCGAGCTGCGATGAGGGTCCCCGCGGGGGCGGCGGTCTCCATAGTGCTGCTCTTTGTACCAGTGCTGATCGTATGGATGGTGTCGTTCTCCACCCCATCCTTGGTTGGTGTTGCCGCCGTAGTTGAACTTGCGGTCCCGCTGCCAGTCGCTTCGGTCTGCAGGAAAGGAAAGGGACGCTCTCAGGTAGAGCCCAGGGCTTTGGGAGCAACTTGTTGATTATGCATTTAGAGCCAAAGAGAAGGAGTTAGTTGGCTTTTGCTGTCTGATGGTGTGCCAGCTTTTGTTTGGTCACTTACCCGAATTACTGAAGTGCCTTTTATTTGGGTGGTTATAGTTGTCACGCTGGTGCCCGTGCATCTGGGAAGGATGGGGCAGTGGATGGTGGACCTTCGGAGGAGGAGGAGGAGTGGCGTGGGGCAAGGAAGACATCACAGAATCCCAGTTGGACCCAGAGGGCTCTGGGCGAAACATCTTCTTGCCTCCCGTGGCATCTTCTTTCTTCTGCTGCTCCAACTGAGAGTAAAAGGAGGAGTTGGTGACAAACATGACAGTGACCTAGCCAAAAAAGGTTTCTGACCAAACTACCTGAGCCACAGTTCAGGGTGTCTCTATCTTTTTCCCCCCCTTGAGACAGTAAAACCACTTGAGGCTCTAAACCAGGCGTGGGCAAACTTTGGCCCTCCAGGTGTTTTGGACTTCAACTCTCACAATTCCTAACAGCCAGTATGTGGAAGTTGAAATCCAAAACACCTGGAAGGCCCAAGTTTGCCCATACATGCTCTTAACTGAACTTTCAAGGTACTTTCAGATGATTTGCATCCTAGGGGATACAGTTAAGTCCCTGGGATAGTTCTTTAAAGTTGGAACTAAAGAATACACCCTGTAAACACTGTATTAACTGATAAACAGAGTGCTGGTCTAATGACCTATCTATTAGGCTTGGGTAACAACGGAAAAATTTGGTTCTAAACTCGTTTCATTTTTAGGGGGCCCTTGCGTTTCGTTTTTTTAAAGAATTCTGAAATTTTCCATTAAAAAAGTTCGAAATATACGAAATTTCGTAAAATTACGAATCGATTCGTTAATGGCGGACGCGATTGCGCAATATGCTAAAAAACCCTCCAAATGGGACAGGGGGAACTTCTGAAGCTTCCCTCTCCCTCTGTTGTTGACTGTTGGTGTGATAATTTATTTTTTATCACTGATAAAACAAACAACAACTATAAAACTTGCACCAGACATACGGAAATAATTACGAAACAAACAATTTCGAAACAATTTTGAAACAATTACGAAACAATTAGGAAACAATACGAAATAAATTGGAAAAATTGTTTCGATTTTTAATTACTCCTCACAGTAGTCCTGCATGGCACAATATTGGATCGTAAGCTAATTTAAATACGAATTAATAACGAATTACGAAATTAACGAACGAAACCGCCCAAGCCTACTATCTATCTATCTATCTATCTATCTATCTGTCTGTAGCAATTCTGAGTTCTCATCTTAACTTTGCAGGAGCTATCAAAAAAACCTGAATTACTAGAGAGAAAATCAGTATTTTCAGACTAGAGCTTGGATCGGAGGCCCCATCTACCCCTACCTTTAACACCAGCCTTTAAAGAGTCCCAAATGACAAAACCTGTTCCAGCTAAACGAATGTCTGGATCTTTTCCTAGAGGACACATTTCTTGCCTCTGGGCTCGCCTACTTGTTTCTCTATATGCAGAAGTCTTGCACCTTTTTTTCTCATCTGCAAGAGTCCCCAAGGCCCGCGGCACCCTCCCCTGCGTAGATAACTCTGTCTCACCTCCTCATCCTGGGACCGCTTCTTGTGCGCCATCTTGTACAACTTGTGCAGCTTCCTCGCATCAAATTCCGTGAACTTGGACACAAAGATCCACAGGTTCCTGGGGAAATGAAAGGGAGTGTTTTCCCTCTGTGCTCGCCAGGGTTTCCCTTTCATGTCCCTTGAGCCCAGTGATGGAAAACCTAGCTTACCTCCTCCAGAGCTTGGTGTGCTCCTGGTCGGAATACTCTTTCAAGCACTCGGAGATGCGGTCGCCAATCTTCAGAAGGCAGCTGCGGGTGTGCTCCAGTTGTTCCTGAACCGAGAGCCCTCGGTCCGGTTTGTCCAGCTGCTTCAGAGCTTTCTTGACAGGCCGCATCCTCTCTTTGCACTGAAAAGGGGAGCAAGCAGAGAGCAACGCTACGTCTTAGCCTCATGGTGGCCAAGAGTGGGATGGAAGGAGTCAGGGTTATTTTTCAACCTTGCTCTTCCACTGCAATTTCCTTTTAAAAGAGAAGGAAATTGGATACTGGAACAGTGTCTAACCCATGAGACAAGGAGTTAGAAGGCAGCACAAGTTTGAAATTCTTCCAATGTCTTAAAACCCCAAGATGTGGGAAGTCAACCCCTTTCACTTGCTTCCCCTCGCCATCCATATTTAGTGAGAGGAAAACCTACTATGCTGAAGGTCTCCTGGTCCAAGTCATCCTCTTCATCTTCACCGATAGGGACGGGCTCACTCCCGGCTGTAATGTGGACAGGGCCCTGAGACCGCTTGACTTTCTTTCCCAATTTGGACTCACTGCCTTTCGGCTGCAAAAGAAGAAAACCATGCCAGTGAACTCAAAAGTAAAATTGGGGACATGACCCAATTTCAGGCCAAAACAAGGAAAGAGAAGAAGATGGAGCCTTAACTCTGCTTGGTGGAATTCCCATTCTATTAAAAATGAAGAATTCCCCTTCAGGGGAGATAAAGCAGAGTTGTTGTTGTTGTTGTTGTTGTTGTTGTTGTTGTTGTTGTTGTTGTTGTTGTTGTTGTTATTATTATTATTATTATTATTAAAAAGAGAACAACAGTGGTACCAATAATGGTAGGCGCTCATGGAGACACCCCAAGAAACCTTGAAAAGCACTTGAAAAGCCTTAATTTGGACAGAACATCAATCTACAGTAGTAGTAATTTTATTGATTAGCCCTTAGGCCATATCACAATAAGAAACAGAACAACAAGGCCTGACAAGACCTGATCACACTCCACGTAGAAAGTTAAAATAAGACACTTATAATAATACAGTAAATACATATGATAAGACATGATAAAACTGATAAACTGATCAAGCTGAGTATATACATCATATTTCATTATCACCCCTACAATTTACCCCAATCAGCCCTACATATGTGGTTCTCAGACGTATTGTTTTGCTTAAGTACAGAGCTGTTTTATATGTTATTTTTGGGTCTTGGCCACACATAAAATATGTTGTTCTGATTTGAGAATCCCAATACATTGTCCGTTTGATATATGGACCAAGGTGGAAGTCTCTCACCTTTTGATACAATTTGCAATCAAACAATATGTGTGCGAACATAAATCTACAGGGTGCAGAAGGAAGGAAGCACTTCTTGGAATTGTGCACATTCTACAAAAATACCTCTGCCCTTGGGAAGAGCCCAATATTCAGAGACGAATCCCAGATACTTGGACCTAATATGTGCTGTGCTGTTTAAAAGTAATAATAATAATAATAATAATAATAATAATAATAATAATAATAATTCCCCAACCCTTATGATTGTGAATATACCACTTCAAAGTCCAGAAAGGATCATCCAGCAATGAAGGTTTGGTAACCCCAATGCCAAGCAAAAGCAGCTCTGTGCAGAGCTTTGAAACCCCTTTTGACACATAGCAGCTAGCTGGGAGATTATGGGAGCTGTCATTCAAAAGTACCATGTATATTTGAGTATAAGCTGACCCAAATATAAGCCAAAAACCCAAATTTGACCATAAAAAACTTGGAAAACGTATTGACTTGAGTATAAGCCCAGGGTGGGAAATGAGGCAGCTACTGGTCAGTTTCAAAAATAAAAATAAAAATAGATACCAATAAAATGGTTGTATATACAGTATAATAAAGGTAAAGGTTTCCCCTGACATTAAGTCTGACTCTGGGGAGTGGTGCCCATCTCCATTTCTAAGCTGAAGAGCTGACGTTATCTGTAGATGGCTCCAAACTCATGTGGCTACTGACATGACTGCATGGAGTGCCATTACCTTCCCGTCAAGGCAGTACATATTGATCTACTCACATTTGCATGTTTTCGAACTGGTAGGTTGGCAGAAGCTGGGGCTAACAGCGGGAGCTCATCCCACTCCCTGGATTCGAACCGTCAACCTTTAGGTCAGCAAGTTCAATAGCTCTGCTGTTTAACCCACTGCAACACCAGGGGGGCCCTTATGTACAGTGTGTGTGTATATGTGTGTGTGTGCATATATGTGTGTGCATATACGAAGTTTCTTAAGTCACTCCTGACACAAAAAAACCCCATATATACTTGAGTATAAGCTGATCCGAATATAAGCTGAGGGGTTGTTTTTCAGCCTAAAAAATGTGCTGAAAAACTCGGCTTATACTCAAGTATATACGGTAGCTTTTCCTATGTTTTGGTTCTCTGTCAACTGGACACAATACCTTCTCTTTTTTGTCCTTGGCCTTCTTTCTCTCCTTCTCACCCTCCTTTTCTTTCTTGAGGGCTGCCGCTTTGTCTTTGTTCTCCTTGCTCTCTTTCTTCTTCAGCTTCTTCTTTGCAGGACTCTTATCCCGCCCATCCTCCTGGAAGAAAAAGAAGGAAGGACCCCAGGTAATATTACAATTATGATTTAAGGAAATGCAGTACTCCTTTCTAAGCTCCTTGCTCCATGATAATTCACATTAAACCACTACGACATTGTATCGATCTACTCTGTGGTCATCATCTTCCTCTCAACTCTCACTAGATGCCGCACGATACTAAGTGAGACCATGGGTCCAACTTTATCAACATTATCTACAACTGCCTAGTAGAAGCTCTTCATAATGTCAACCTGGAGTCCTTTCCAGGATGATTCAGAGAAGCCAGAGCTTGAAATAGTGAACCAATGCCCCACCACTGAGTTACACCTCTCAGCAAAGAAACTGTTGGCTCAATATGACTCAGATAACCCTCATGCTCCCCCCGCCCCCCATGGATCTGTACTCTGGGTCCTTTCTCAGATGTTCTGCACTAGCTCTTTCCAAAGGTCAAACTTTCTCCAAGATTGCAGCCACTGATGGCTTTTACTGAACAGTAGCAGGACAAGCAACGGCGTTGGGACCTGGAGGCTGGGTTTTACCTTGACCTCGCCTTCTTCCGAATGGTTGTCCGAATGCCCAGGAGAGGCTTCATTCCTCTGCTCATCCCTGCCTTTGGGAGACTTGGTGTCCTTCTTTGCACGGGGCTTCCGCTTTCTCACCTTGACCTATGGGAGGGAAGAAGTGTGACTAAGGAAGCATCCACTTCAGGTGGGAATATCACCAGATTTTGTTCATTTTCATAGTTTCCTCCTTTCTGTTGAAATTGTCCACATGCTTCTTGTGAATTTCAATGGCTTCTCTGCATCGTCTGACATGGTGGTTGTGAGAGTGATCCAGCATTTCTGTGTTCTGCAGTGCCTTTCATGCTCCTTGATTCGTGGTTGGGCACTGGACCACTCTCAACAACCACCATGTCAGACTACACAGAGAAGCCATTGAAATCCACAAGCATGTGGACAATTTCAACAGAAAGGAAAAACATGAAAATGAACAAAATCTGGCTACCAGTATTTTAAAAACTCTAAAATCAGGACAGTAAACAAAGAACAACACTCAAAAAAACAGGAGAATTCCAGACAGGAAACAATCAGGGCCACCTAATAGCTCTCAACAAAGGATCCCCCCAGGCAGCAATCAGCCAGGCTTTGAAGCTGCTAATCAAGGTGTCCAACTGCAACATTCACACCTGCCTCAAACAGAAAAAAGGCACTGCCAGGCCATCAAATGCTAATCAAGGCGGTCAGTTGAAACATTCACACCTAGCTCCAACAGACAAGAGTCCTTTGTCTCACCCTGGTCATTCCACAGATATATAAACCCATTTTCCTACTTCCAACAGACCTCACTACCTCTGAGGATGCTTGCCATAGATGCAGGCGAAACGTCAGGAGAGAATGCCCCTAGAACATGACCATATAGCCCGAAAAAACCTACAACAACCCAATGTGAGAAGCGATTCCCTAAATATGAAGATAATCATAATGCTAATATGTTGTGCTCACCCATATCATCAGATCAAAAGGGTTAACTCAGGGTGCATCTATACTGTAGAATTAATGCAGCTTAACATCACTTTAGTGGCCATCAAGCAATGCTATGGATTATAGGAGTTGTAGTCTCACAAGGTAGTTTCCTTCTCTGAGAGAGGGCTAGTGCTTCACCAAACTATGATTCCATAGCTTTGAGCCATGGCAGTTGAAGGGGTGTCCATGCATTAATTCTATAGTACATAAGGCAACCTAAGTTTTGCACAATCAATAGCAGATCTGTTGTAATCTGTTGTGTGTGTGTGTGTGTGAGAGAGAGAGAGAGAGAGAGTGTGTGTATGTGTGTGTGTGTGTGTGTGTGTGTGTGTGTGTGTATGTATATGTGTATGTATGTGTGTGTGTGTGTGACTTGACTAGTTTCCAACAGACCTCACAAGCTCTGAGGATGCCTGCCATAGATGTGGGTGAGAGAATGCTTCTGGAACATGGTCAGACAGCCTGGCAAACTCACAGCCTACTATTATTATTATTATTATTATTATTATTATTATTATTATTATTACTATTACTATGCTCTAGTTTTTCAATGAATATCTCTCTGAGTTTCAACCAATTCAACTTAGTTTGTGGCAGCCACAAAAACAAAGTTTCTGGAGTATAACTTTCAATGTTGCACAGTTAAACAGGAGTAACACTTTCAAACAGAAATAATTTCTTTTCAAATGTTGTTACATAGTGTGGATATAAGGTAGGATCTGAAGATTTCAATAAAAACCAATCAGGCAGCAGGAAAGCAGCCTCTTGGCTTCTCCTCTGGATTTGCAGCAGAACTGACCTCCTCCATCTCTTTCACTGTATCCTTTTTCTCCATATCTTTCTTGAGCAGTTTCAGCAAATAGTCAGTCCGGGCCTGGAGCTGCTTGCCCTGTGGCTTTTTGTCCGTCTCAACTGGCAAGATCTTTTGAAAGAAAAGATAAAGTAGATTAAATACCCCCTTTTTACCCCATAGCAAGGCAAGCAAAGATCCAATGGCTCTGTTTTCCATTGAGAGGAAGTCCCAAAGAGGCAAGTCATAAGAGGACTGTCTCCTGAAGGCTAATCAAATGGGGAAATACTCCCAATGGGTCAATGATCCATTGATCCATATGGGTCAAAGCCTCTCTAGTTTAAGGTGTTCCCAACCAGACTTGGAAGATGTATTGGGATAACAGACCCCAATTTGCAGTCAACACAGCCAAACATCATGTGGGTTGGTTCTGATTGTAATTGGAGTTCAAAGAGTGACCATTGCTTTGCTGGTTGCACTGTTCTAAGAGGACCTCATAGTAGTCATAGAATCATAGAATCCTAGAGTAGGAAGAGACCTCATGGGCCATCCAGTCCAACCCCCTGCCAAGAAGCAGGAATATTGCATTCAAATCATCCCTAACAGATGGCCATCCAGCCTTTGTTTAAAAACTTCCAAAGAAGGAGCTTCCACCGCACTCCAGGGCAGAGAGTTCCACTGCTGAATGGCTCTCACAGTCAGGAAATTCTTCCTCGTGTTCAGATGGAATTTCCTCTCTTGTAGTTTGAAGCCATTGTTCCACATCCTAGTCTCCAGGGAAGCAGAAAACAAGCTTGCTCCCTCCTCCCTGTGGCTTCCTCTCACATATTTATACATGGCTATCATATCTCCTCTCATCCTTTTCTTCAGGCTAAACATGCCCAGCTCCTTAAGCCGCTCCTCATAGGGCTTGTTCTTCAGACCCTTGATCATTTTAGTCGCCCTCCTCTGGACACATTCCAGCTTGTCAATATCTCTCTTGAATTGTGGTGCCCAGAATTGGACACAATATTCCAGGTGTGGTCTAACCAAAGCAGAATAGAGGGGTAGCATGACTTCCCTAGATCTAGACACTATTCTCCTCTTGATGCAGGCCAAAATCCCATTGGCTTTTTTTGCTGCCACATCACATTGTTGGTTCATGTTTAACTTGTTGTCCACGAGGATTCCAAGATCTTTTTCACATGTACTGCTCCCGAGCCAGGTGTCCCCCATTCTGTATCTTTGCATTTCGTTTTTTCTGCCTGAGTGGAGTATCTTGCATTTGTCACTGCTGAACTTCATTTTTTTAGTTTTGGCCCATCTCTCTAATCTGTTAAGATCATTTTGAATCCTGCTCCTGTCCTCTGGAGTATTGGCTATCCCTCCCAATTTGGTGTCGTCTGCAAACGTGATGATCATTCCTTCTAACCCTTCATCTAAATCATTAATAAAGATCCTGAACAGGACCGAGCCCAGGACGGAACCCTGCGGCACTCCACTCGTCACTTCTTTCCAGGATGAAGAGGAAGCATTGGGGAGAATCACCCTCTGGGTTTGTCCATTTAACCAATTACAGTTCCACCTAACCGTAGTTTTGCCTCGCCCACATTGGACCAGTTTCCTTGCCAGAAGGTCATGGGGGACCTTGTCCAAGGCCTTATTGAAATCCAGGTACACTATATCCACAGCATTCCCCACATCTACCCAGCTTGTAACTCTATCAAAAAAAGAGATCAGATGAGTCTGGCATGACTTGTTTTTGATAAATCCATATTGACCACATTTGTTTCTAAGTGTTTGCAAACCACTTCCTTAACAATCTTTTCCAGAATCTTGCCTGGTATCGACGTGAAGCTGACCGGACAGTAATTGTTTGGGTCATCCTTTTTTCCCTTCTTGAAGATTGGGACAACATTGGCCCTCCTCCAATCTGCTGGAACTTCTCCTGTTCTCCAAGAACTCTCAAAGATGATTGTCAATGGTTCCGAAATGACTTCTGCTAGTTCCTTCAATATTCTTGGGCGTAGTTGATTTGACCCTGGGGTCTTGAACTCATTAAGAGCAGCCGGGTATACCTGGACGACTTGTTTCCCAATTTGGGGTTGGATGTCCTCTAATCCCTCATCCACTCCATCTTGCTGAGGTTGAAGATGACTTTCTTTTTGTGAGAAGACAGAGGCCAAGAAGGCATTAAGTAGTTCTGCCTTTTCCCTATCCCCTGTCAGCATTGTTCCATCTTCTCCTCAGGTCTGTTTCCATCTGACCCTCATTTTGTTTACCAGACAGTTACCCGAAAGGAGGAAGGGTGTTTTCAACTTCATTTGGCAGAGATTCGGCCCATTGGCTACAATGGGAAACTTTAAAAGCTCAATTCTCAGTCATTTTAAGGCCTATCTGCATGGAACCTATTTCAGTTGTAGACTCCATTTACAAATGCAGCCCTGCCAAGTTACAAAACAATTCACCAGTCTACTGCTTTTTAAAATACTTCTTTATTTGAAGTTTTAATTTAAAAACAAGATATCCACAAAAGAAATAAAGACACACAAAAGGTAAAGTAACAAAAAATGAAAATTATATATCTGTATATAAATGTACATATATGCATATATATAATAATAATAATAATACTAATAAAAGAAAATAACATAAATAGACAAGCACATGATTTGACTTCCTGGTGCCTTCCTGAGGTATTTTTCTATTTTTCTTCTTCACACTTTCTTTTCTTCCTCTTCTCCTTCTCCTTCTTATTAACTTCTTACCCTCCCTTCTTTCTGTCTTCCTTTTTGTATTGTCCTGTTTCTATTTGCTAGATCAAAATCTTCTTATTTCTTTGTTTAAGATATTCAGTGATTTTGTATTGTCAAATGCTTTCATGACTGGAATCACTACTTCTGAGGATGCTTGCCATAGATGCAGGCGAAATGTCAGGAGAAAATGCCTCTAGAACATGGCCATATAACCCGGAAAAACCTACAACAACCATTCAGTGATTTTTTTCCAATCTGTTTCTTTCATCTTTATTCCTTTATATATTTTTTTTGCATGAGGAAAGTGAGTCTATCCATATTTCTAATCTCCAGTATCTTCGTCAATCTCTCGCCCTCTCCCCTTGTATTTCTTCTTGTTTCCATCTTTTCACATAGCAAATTCTCGCTGCCATGGTTATTAAAAATAGAAGTTTGTCTGCGTTTTTTCTAATTCCATCTCATGTATTCCTAATAGGAATAATTCTGGATTCCAGGGGATCTGTATCTCTAGCATTTTTGTGTCTCCTTCTGTACTTCTTTCCAGTATCTGTTTGCTCTATCACAAGTCCACCACATGTGGAAATATAATCCTTCTTTTTCCTTGTATTTCCAACAATTCGTGCTCGTGTTATTATAGTTTTTTTCCCAGCTTCTTTGGTGTCATGTACCACTTGTGTAATGTTTTTACTCAGTTATCTTTTAGGTCGATTGCGTATAAGTATTTTGGTTTTTTTCTCTCCATATTTCCTCCCACTCTTCTTGTCTGATGGTTCTTTCAATGTTTTCATTCCACCTTTTCATGTAATTTTTTTTCTTCCTTTGATTCCATTACCCATTTTAACAATTTTTGTATATCTTTCTTATCAATTTTTTTTCTGATTCCACTATTTTATCCCTGTGCAAATCCAATTTCTTTATCTTTTTTTATATTTTTCTTTAATTTGCCAATACTGAAACCATGATATTTTCTGATCTATTGTATTCTGATCTATTGATCTAATTCTTGCTGTGATTTTATTATTAATACTCCCCCTTCCTTTAAAAAAAATCTTTATATTTTGGCCATTCATTCCATCCCATACATTAAGCTTGGGCAGTTTCGTTCGTTAATTTCGTAATTCGTTATTAATTCGTATTTAAATTAGCTTACGATCCAATATTGAGCCATGCAGGAATAGTGTGAGGAGTAAATTAGATTCGAAACAATGTTTTCAATTTATTTCGTAATTATTTTGTAATTATTTTGTAATTATTTCGTAATTATTTTCGCATGTCTGGTGCAAGTTTTATAGTTGTTGTGTGTTTTATCACACCAGCAGTCAACAACAGAGGGAGAGGGAAGCTTCAGAAGTTCCCCCTGTCCCATTTGGAGGTTTTTTTAGCATATTGCGCAATCGCGTCCGCCATTAACGAATCGATTCGTAATTTTACGAAATTTCGTATATTTCGAAATTTTTAAAAGGAAAATTTCGGAATTATTAAAAAAAACGAAACGCAAGGGCCCCCTAAAAACAAAACGAGTTTAGAACCAAATTTTTCCGTGGTTACCCAAGCCTACCATACATCTTCTTTGTCCTGCTTCTAATGGGGAAATCCACAAGTAGAAATTCACCAATCTACTAATAGAGAAACCCCCAAGTAGAAATTCACCGATCTACTGATTTTTAGAAGTATTTTCAGTTTTAACCATAACATTTGGAAATTGTAGTTGCTGGCTGTGTCCATTCTCAGCCAATCAGAGCATGAACACCACAAGGCTTTTTACTGGCTGAGAAATATAGAAAAAGAAAAACTTGAACTCCCATCATGCTCCAAGAGAAACTTTTAATGGCCATCCTATGCTAGTACCATTAGGAAAGTGAGTTCCCAGGGTCGTGTATGGAGGAGGAGGAGGGAACTTTCCAAGAAAAAATGGAGAAGACTTCTCCTTTCTGTTTTCGGAAATCACACAAAAATAGCCCTCCAAAAACTATGATTTTTTTAATGAACAGTAATTCAGGCCCAACTCTACCCAGTAACCATTTTTTTCTTCCTCATTCCATATTAAAAAATACAATATGCCGGAATCAACAATGAGAAACAACAGGCTGCATTTTCAGCTGGTGGGAATAGCAATTTCTGGAAGAAAGGGAAATTCACAATGATCTAAAGCTTCCTGTACCTTGTCAGTGAGTTTCAGCTCTGGGTCTGATTTGATGTGCTCCCAGTTCCCATAGCCATGCTCATAAACTCCCAGCAGCAAATGCGAGTCATCCTCCAAGCCCCATTCGACATCGAAATGGGCAGCTTTGGCTCGGCAAGTCAGTAGAAACCTGGACATTTAGCCAAGAAGAAGAAAAAGGATGAGAAGCTGCCTCTTTCCCACCTTGGTGGTGTCCCTCCTAATGGCCAAGTAACTATGCAATCAAGTACCACCAGGATGTTTTAAGCAGGATCATCTCCCAGTTAGGTGCTTTCTTTCTGCATCTACAAAGCCCACATTCACCTGGCTCTCTCCTCTGGGTCGGTGGGAATGGTCTGGTTTAGCATCGCAAAGTCTTCTTCATGCTGGACGATGGCTTTGACGTTCACCTGAACCCCAGAAATCTTGATGGTGGGACCCCTTCTCTTCCCTGGTCCTTTGCCTGCTGGACAAGAAGAAAAGAAGCAAATGTGGTAAAGAAACGGTCTCAAATTTGCTAAATATAGGATTCTGCCTTCTATCTGTTCTTCTAAGAGACATCAGCAGGCTGAGGAAAGCTTACCTTCTGGGTTATCTTTCAGCTGCTCTTCGTACTCCTGCATGGCTAGGGCACAACTGTTATGGAGAAGCTCCCCCAAACGCTTCAGATCAGCCACCGACTTGTCCACCAGCTCCGCATCTCGGGCAACACACTCCAGCCTTGAGGACACAAAACCAAAGCTCAGCAACCTGGGAATGGGCACCACATACAGCAAGACCCCCTACTCCATGGGATATGTTCCCAGTGGATACACAACACCATGGATGTGACCCGATATGAGGAAAGTACCCTGCTTCCAGCCCCACCGAGTTGCATTTGAGGACCTAGAGATTCTTAATAGGAACACCCACTCTAGTGTAGATCCTCCAAGGCAACTCTATAATTAACTTCCAGGGGGAGTATACAACAGAATTATATAGAGGACCTAGCAAATTCCTAGAGGGATCAATTTCCCCTAGGCATGGGTAAATGCTATGTTGTTACCCACCTCCAGCCACAAGGAGATGTAAGAAATAAAATAACAACAACAAAAACACAGCCCATAGCTATGTTTTTGTATTATTATTATTATTATTATTATTATTATTATTATTATTTTGAGATGGTTGCATATAGGGTGGCCCTATATTGCATAATAATAACAATTATTATTATTTTGAGATGGTTGTATATAGGCTGACTCTACATTGCAGAATTAGAATAAAAATAATAATAACAATAGTAATAGTAATAATTCTTTTGAGGCATCTACATATAGGCTGGCTCTACACTGCAGAATTATTACTACTACTACTATCCTACTACTACTACTTCTTCTACTACTATTATTATTTTGAGGAGTTTGCATATAGGCTGGCTCTATACTTCAGAATTAGAATAATGATGACAATAATAATAAATCTTTTTGAGGTGGTTGCATGTAGACTGGCTCTACACTGCAGAGTAATTAAAAATAATAATCCCCATCACCATCCGCATAATAATAACAATAATAATCCTCATCATCATCATCTCTGGCACAAGCCAGTCAAGGTGGTCCCAGTGGTGATCGGCACACTGGGTGCAGTGCCTAAAGACCTTGGCTTGCACTTTAAAACAACTGGCGCTGACAAAATTACCATCTGTCAGCTGCAAAAGGCCACCCTACTCAGACCTGCATACATTGGGAAGTGTCCGACGTGGGATTCAATACAAAAGCCAGCATAGTGATCTTGTTTGCTGTATACTAATCTTGTTGTGTATTAAATAATAATAATTTTGAGGTGGTTGCATATAAACTGGCTCTACATCACAGAATAATAATAATAATAATAATAATAATAATAATTCTTTTGAGATGGTTGCATACAGGCTGGCTCTTTACTGCAGAATTAGAATACTAATACTAATAATAATAATTTTGAGGTCATTGTATATAGATTGGCTCTATACTGCAAAATTGGAATACTACTACTACTACTACTACTAATAATAATAATAATAATAATAATAATAATAATAATAATAATACATAGCTATGGGCTGTGCAGAGATGAGGGTCTTATGGCCATATGAGGCTCATCTGCCTTTTAAAACTTCTAAGTAAACAGCAGCCCAAGACAGTTGGCATCTTCCAACAAAACCTAAAGGCACTTACCGCTCCAGAGGGACTCCGAACTTCTTATAGGCTTTAATGAACCTGTGGGATTGAATCCAAACAGTGGCGTCAGTTACTAGGGCTCTCCACCAAATAAATTTCGATTTCGTGACATGAGTCCCAGAGTCCCTTCATAAGACACAATGGGAGCGTCATGATGACATCCTATGGAATACTGAGATTGGCAGTTCAGAGAGCTTCCATTTGGAATCCTCAACCACAGAATGGTTGATCGACATTTCCAAGGGATTTAATTGCAGAATGTATATACAATACCATTGGGAGTTAGATACCATTATACATAAGTCCCATTGTAGATAAAAATGGCAAAACCGCTAGGCTGCTAGGAATTGTGGGAATTGAAGTCCAAATCACCTGGAGGGCCAAAGTTTGCCCATACCTGGTTGAGACTGAGCATGTACTAGCAAATTGGAAAAGAAAACAAAGGAAATGTGGGAGGGATGAAGGAAGAAGCAACCTACTTGGATTCAGTGCCTACCTCCTGATTTCGGTGTCAGTGAACCCTTCCACCGTGTCCTTCCGGACGCTACGGGGTCGCCCTCGGCGCTTGGGCCTCTTGTCGTCGTCCGAATCCTCGGTCTCGCTCTCGGAGGCAGAAGACCTCTGCTCCAGCTTCCTCTTCATCTCGTTGTCCGAATCGCTGTCGTTGGCTTGAGCCTGCAAGAGACAGGAGCGGTCAACAAGACAGCTTGGAGAAGCCACTCTCCCAGACATTTGGCCTCCTGACTCTCCTTCCACCCAGAAATAAGAGTGATGGTCATATTCTTTTGCAAGGTTGTTGTTCCCAACTTACTGTTATTGCCTAAAGGTTAACATATTCTAGTATTTTCTTGGCAGGATTTGTTTATTGCAAATTTCCTATAAGGATGATATAGTATAAATGTGTTGTCGAAAGCTTTCATGGCTGGAATCACTGGGTTGCTGTGCATTTTCCGGGCTATACAGCCATGTTCCAGAAGCATTCTCTCCTGACGTTTTGCCCACATTTATGGCAGGCATCCTCAGAGGTCGTGAGGTTTGTTAAAACTAGGCAAGTGGGGTTTATATACCTATGGAATAATGTCCAGGGTGGGAGAAATAACTCTTCTTTCTTTGAGGCAAGTGTGAATGTTGCTATTAGCCATCCTGATTAGCATTATATAATAATAATAATAATCATCATCATCATCATCATTATTTATACCCTGCCACCATCACTGAATTGCTGTGTGTTTTCTGTGCTAACTGGCCATGTTCTAGAAGCATTCTCTCCTGACATTTTGCCCACATTTATGGCAGGCATCCTCAGAGGTTGTGAGGTTTGTTAAAACTAGGCAAGTGGGGTTTATATACCTATGGAATAATGTCCAGGGTGGGAGAAATAACTCTTGTTTCTTTGAGGCAAGTGTGAATGTTGCTATTGGCCACCCTTATTAGCATTATATAATCATCATCATCATCATCATCATCTTTATTTATACCCCGCCACCATCTCCCCAACGGGGACTCGGGGCGGCTTACATGAGGCCAAGCCCAACAATGCATTACAATAAAATAAAACCAAAACACAAAACAGCAACACAATAAAGTAAATAAATCATAAGAATACATTAAACAATATAAAATAATACAACAAAATAAAAATAAAATAAATCATTCACAGACACAATGACAATGAGCAAAATGTTAAAAACTCAGGGTGAGATAGGAGTGGAGCATAACATCTCTAAGGGAGCGACTCATAGACCCATGCAACTTCAAAGCCTAGCTGATTCCTGCCTCAGGGAATCCTTTGTTGGGAGATGTTAGCTGGCCCTGATTGTATCCTGTCTGGAATTCCCCGTTTTCTGAATGTTGTTCTTTATTTAATGTCCTGATTTTAGAGTTTTTGAAAGACTGGTAGCCAGATTGTGTTCGTTTTCATGAATGAAAATGAACAAAAGCAACCAGGCTTTGAAGCTGCCAGTCCATTCAATGCTAATCAAGGTGGTCAATTGCAACATTTGCTCTAGCCTCAAACAGACAAGAGTTCTGTCTCCCACCCTGGACATTATTACACAGATATATAAACCTCACTTGCCTAGTTTCCAACAGACTCATCATCCTCTGAGGATGCCTGCCATAGATGTGGGTGAAATGTCAGGAGAGAATGCTTCTGGAACATACAGCCCGGAAAACTCACAGCAACTCAGACATAGTATGACTTGCCCAAAGTCACCCAGTGGGTTGCTATGACCAAAATAAATGTGGATTTGAACCCTGGTCTCCTTGCATCCTAATCCAACCCTCAAACCACTATACCACACAGCCCTCTATCCTTACAATGCAGCCTCTAAAATCTTGAAAGAGGTCACTGGAAGCCTTCAAGGAAGTTACATTCAGGCTTTGGAAAAAGCCAATGAACAACCTCCAAAAATGTGTTGTCGGAGGCTTTCATGGCCGAAATCATTAGTTTGCTGTGAGTTTTCCAAGCTGTTCCAGAAGCATTCTCTTCTGACGTTTCACCCACATCTATGGCAGGCATCCTCAGAGGTTCTGAGGTCTGTTGGAAACCAGGCAAGGAAGTTTTTCCAGACAGGAAACAATCAGGGCTAGCTAACACCTCCCAACAAAGGATTCCCCTGGGCAGGAAGCAGCCAAGCTTTGAAGCTGCCAGGCCATTCAATGCTAATCAAGGTGGCCAATGGCAACATTCACTCTTGCCTCCAACGGACAACAGTTCTTTCTCCCACCCTGGGCATCATTCCACAGATATATAAACCTCACTTTCCCAACAGACCTCTATGGATGCCTACCATAGATGCAGGTGAAACGTCAGGAGAGAATGCTTCTGGAAGATGGCCAGAGAGCCCAGAAAACTCACAGCAACCCAACCTCCAAAATTTATTATTTATTCATTTATTGGCCTCATGTAAACCGCTCCAAGTCCCTTGGGGAGATGGTGGCGGGGTATAAATAAAGTTATTATTATTATTATTATTATTATTACTAATTATTATTAATTTCATACATTTCTACTCCACCTTTCTCCCCACAAGGGGACTCAGGGCAGCCTCACATAAGCATCAGATGATGATAACATCATATCTATATATATAAATCTGTTAGGTTGGTTCAACCGGACAGCAAAACTCCACAACCCCCCAACGAAACTGTACCAAAATTGCCATGCCCATAACACAACCCACAAGGTACAAACATATCTACTCAAAATGAAAAACAACACAACAACACACTCACAAAACGGCAAAACAACAAAACTCAAAAACCCCAATGAAACTTAACCAAAATTCCCATGCCCATAACACAACCCACAAGGTACAAACATATCTACTCAAAATGAAAAACAACACAACAACACACTCACAAAACGGCAAAACAACAAAACAAAAAAAAAACCAACGAAACTTAACCAAAATTCCCATGCCCATAACACAACCCACAAGGTACAAACATATCTACTCAAAATGAAAAACAACACAACAACACAACAGCAAAACAACAAAACTCAAACCCCCCAACGAAACTTAACCAAAATTCCCATGCCCATAACACAACCCACAAGGTACAAACATATCTACTCAAAATGAAAAACAACACAACAACACACTCACAAAACGGCAAAACAACTGAGCATGCGCATTGGCGCCCAGCCGCAAGTTCCCTGGCGCGCGCACACAGTCTTCCGGCCAACGTTTCCTCTGCGGAAGCCATGCCCACTCCAAGCCCTGCCGCGCCGCTTCCTGCACACACACACCCCTGCCGCACGCACACACACAACCCCACGCTCCATCACTCCCCCCACCGCACACACACACGCAACCCCACGCTCCATCACTCCCCCCACCGCCACACACACACGCGCAACCCCACTACCCCGCTGCCGCACACACACACGCAACCCACGCTCCATCACTCCCCCCGCCGCCGCACACACACACGCAACCCCACGCTCCATCCCTCCCCTGCCCCAATCTTACCTCCTTTTACTTCACGCCACCTCCAAACCCCACCCCGCCCCTTCCCGCCCTGTCAAAATCCAGGAAAGACAGGAAGGAAGGAAAGAAGGAAGAAAGAGAAAGGGAGGTAAAGAAAAAGGGGGAAGGAAGGAAAGTTAGAGAAAGAAGGAAGAAGAAAAGGAAAGAAAAGGAAAGATGGAAGGAAAGAAAAGAGAGACAGCAGAGGAGAAAGAAAAAGGGGGAAGGAAGGAAAGAGGTAGAGAAGGAAGAAATGAGAGACAGAGGGAAAGAAAAAGGGAAGGAAGGAAGGAGAGAAGGAAAGAAAAAAGGGAATGAAGAAAGGAAAGAAGGAGAGAAAGAGGGAAGGAAAGAAAAAGGAAGAGAGAGAAGGAAAAAAAGAAGAAGGAAAAAAAGGGAAGGAAGGAGAGAAGGAAAGAAAAAAGGGAAAGAAGGAAGGAAAGAGGGAGCGAAGGAAGGGGGAAGATGTAGAGAAAGAGGGAGGGAAGGAAAGAAGGAAAGAGAGAAGGAAGAAAAGAGACAGAAGAGAAAGAAAAAGGGGGAAGGAAGGAAAGAGATAGAGAAGGAAGGATGAAAAGGAAAGATGGGAGGGAAAGAAGGAAGGAGGGAAAGAAGGAGAGAAAGAGGGAAGGTTGGCCACAGCAACGCGTGGCGGGTAAAGGTTGTTATTTCTATGATTATTATGATGCTATTATTCCTATGAGACCCTTTTAGGGGGAATGGGAGAGGTGTCAGGTCCCAGAGGCAATGCATTGCATTATTGTTATTGTTATGATGGTGGTGAAATAAAAGGAAATAAAAAGTGAAAGAAGGAAGCAAACAGGGAGGGAAGAAAGGCAAAGGAAGAAAGGGGGAGGGAATGAAGGAAAGAGAGAAGTATGAAACCAAGTAGTGAAAGAAGGAAAGAAAGAAAGAGGTAGAGAAGGAAGAAAGGAGAGAAAGGGGGAGGAAAAGGGGGAAGGAATAGGTAGGTACCTCTCTTTCATAATAGTCCAGATATCTACCTCAACTTTGATAAGTTTTACTATAGGCCACAGCAACGCGTGGCAGGGCACAGCTAGTACACCATAAAAATTACATTTAAAACAGTAAAAACATTTTAAAACATCAATAAATTCCTTTAACAATAAATTAAGGCCAAGTGAAATTGGGGGGGGGGGGAATCCACTAGCCTTTATATCTTGGAAAATTATTTTAGTGCACCTTCTCGATAGGTTTTTCCTTGAACTGCTTCCCAAATAATATCTCTTTGGTGAAAGGTTATGACAGTTGGGAAGCGAATGGGGTATATGCATGAGAAGTGCATCAATGTCTACATGGGATGCTGAAAGTGTTTCCTTCCTCTTGTCAAATATTCAAAAAAGGTGGTATTTTTGGGACAACCCAAAAAAAAAGGAAGCAGAATAGTGAATTTAGTTTAGTTTGAGTCTGGATTTTAGAAGAGCTATCCAAGGTGCTGAGCCCTTATCCCAAAATAGGTTCAGTACCTTGGACAGTTGAGACCAGTCATGGGCAAACTTGGGTCTTTCCCCCATATGTTTTGGACTCCAACTCCCATAACTCCTAACAGCCTCAGTCCCCTTCCTTTTCCCCCTCAGCCTGAGGCTGTTAGGAGTTATGGGAGTTGGAGTCCAAAACACCTGGAGGAAAGACCCAAGCTGGCCCATAGCTGATATATATGCAGCAGCTCAAAAAGCCAATTGAGATGCCTTCACAAAACAATACCAGGTCCCATTTTAACAACACTCACCATGACTAAAGAATAGGCAGAGAAGTCAAGAGAACAGCGCAAATGGCCAATATGCCTGAATCCGAATGGATGCTGTAGGACCTAGCCTGTCTTATCAAGACCTCTCTCGCTCTCCAAATCTCTCAATCGCAAGTGATCTCCTCAACCGACTACATCAACCGATCACTGCAACTGACCACCTCAACTGACCACTGGCCATCCACAACATTCTCCCCGATCTCCAAGGAAACCAAACAAACAATGCACATTCTACTCGGTCCGATCTGGCCAATCACATCCCTTGTTTTCATTCGATTGTCGGAACTGTTACCGGTTTCAACCAAACTGTCATGGGTCCCAATAAAAGTGCTGGGAGACATGCCAATGACATAAATCAATGAAATACCTATTGATTGTTATTTGAATCAGAGAGTGGGCAAGCTGGCTCCCTTCTGGGAGGGAAGCAGCACATAAATAAATTATTCTGATTGGTTTGAGTATCAGATATCACCTCTGGAGAAAAGCATAATACAAATGCATTATTATTATTATTATTATTATTATTATTATTATACTGACACAAAAACACAGTATGTCACAGCAAACGAGATCTATATGCTGGATTTCGTATCACAAAATCACAAGTCGAACACTTCCCAAGCATCTAGGACTGTGTGATTTTTTATTATTATTATTATTATTATTATTATTATTATTATTATTATTATTATTATATGGTTGCATATAGACTGGCTCTGCACTGCATAATAATAACAACAATAATTCTTTTGAGATGGTTGCATATAGGCTGGCTCTGTACTGCATAATAATAATAATAATAATAATAATAATAATAATTATTATTATTATTATTATTATTTTGAGATGGTTGTATATAAGCTGGTTCTATCCTTCGGAATTAAAATAATAAAAATTGTTATTATTTTACTGACACAAAAACACAGTATGTCGCAGCAAATGAGATCTATATGCTGGATTTCATATCACAAAATCACAAGTCGAACACTTCCCAAGCGTCTAGGACTGTGTGATGTATTGTTGTTGTTGTTGTTATTATTATTATTATTATTATTATTATTATTATTATTTTAGATGGTTGCATATAGAATGGCTCTGTACTGCATAATAATAATAATAATAATAATAATAATAATAATTCTTTTGAGATGGTTGTATATAGGCTGACTCTATACTTCAGAATTAAAATAATAATAAAAATTATTATTATTATTTTACTGACACAAAACCACAGTATGTCACAGGAAATGAGATCTATATGCTGGATTACGTATCACAAAATCACAAGTCGAACACTTCCCAAGTGTCTAGGAATGTGTGATGTATTATTATTATTATTATTATTATTATTATTATTATTATTATTATTATTTTACTGACACAAAAGCACAGTATGTCACAGCAAACGAGATCTATATGCTGGATTTTGCATCACAAACTCACAAGTCGAACACTTCTCAAGCATCTAGGACTGTGTGATGTATTATTATTATTATTATTATTATTATTATTATTATTATTAGGTTGCATATAGGCTGGCTCTGTACTACATAATTATTACTATTATTATTAATAATATTATTATTATTATTTCGAGATGCTTGCATATAGGCTGGCTCTATACTTCAGAATTAAAATAATAATAAAATTATTATTATTTTATTGACACAAAAACACAGTATGTCACAGCAAGTAAGATCTATATGCTGGATTTCGAACACTTCCTAAGCGTCTAGGACTGTGTGATGTATTTTCAGATGATGCACGCAGATACAAGGAAGGTGACCTTTTGCAGCTGACAGATCGTGATTTTGTCAATGTTCATTGTTTCCAAATGCCGGCTGAGATCTTTTGGCATGGTATTATTATTATTATTATTATTATTATTATTATTATTATTAGGTTCTTGTTATTATTATTATTTGAAACACAACAAGATGAGTCCACAGCAAACAAGATCACTCTGCTGGTTGTTATATTGGATCACATGTCTGACACTTTCCAAGTGTCTAGGACTGTGTGACGTATCGGCGAATAATGCGTGCAGATCCCAGTAGGGTAGTCTTTTGCAGTGGTTGCATATATGCTGGCTCTATAGTGCTTCCAATACAAATTTTTGTTGTTGTTGTTGTTATTGTTGTTATTTTGAGGAGGTTGCATATAGGCTGGCTCTATACTGCAGAATAATAATATCAATAATAACAATAATAACAACAACTCTTTTGTAATGTTTGCATATAGGCTGGCTCTATACTGCATAATAATAGTAACAACAACAACAACAACAACAACAACAACTCTTTTTTAATGTTTGCATATAGGCTGGCCCCATACAGCAGAATAATAGTAATACTAAAAATAGTAATAATAATATTGAGATGGCTGCATATATGCTGGCTCTAAGGTAAAGGTAAATGTTTCCCCTTAACATCAAGTCTAGTCATGTCCAACTTTGGGGGATGGTGCACATCTCCATTTCTAAGTTGAAGAGCCAGCGTTGTCTGTAGATGCCTCCAAGGTAACAGAATGGAGTACTGTTACCCTCCCACCAGAGCGGTACCTATTGATCTACTCACATTTGCATATTTTCAAACTGCTAGGTTGGTAGAAGTTGGGGCAAACAGCAGGAGCTCACCCTGCCTCTCCTGGATTCGAACTGCCAACTTTTCTGTCAGTAAGTTCAGCAACTCAGCAGTTTAACCCACTGTGTCATATATGCTGGCTCTATACTGCTTAATAATAATAATAATAATAATAATAATAATAATAATTCTGAGGTGATTGCATATAGGCTGACTCTAAACTGAATAATAATAATAATAATAATAATAATAATAATAATAATAATAATAATTGGGAAGTGTCCGACATGTGATCCAATACAACAGCCAGCAAAGTGACCTTGTCTGCTGTGGACTCATCTTGTTGTGTTTCAAATAATAATAATAATAATAATAATAATAATAATAATAATAATATCATCATCCTCAGGAGTGAGAAGGGTGGGTTACAAATGCAGGAAATAGCTAAATAAATAGCTAGATAAATAAATTTTGAGGTGGTTGCATATAGGCTGGCTCTATACTGGGAAATTAATATTGACTGATGCCACTTTAACTACCACAGATCAATGCTATAGGATCACAAGAGTTGTAGTTTGGTGAGGCACCAGCACTCTTTGGCAGAGAAGGCAAAAGAACTTGCAAAACTACACCTCCCAGGGCCCCAGAGCATTGAGCCATGGAATATCGTGAATTTGTAAATGGTAAAAGGATGAAAACCTGGGTGGACTGGGAACCAAATTGATACTTGGCACCTGATATGTAAACAGAGAAGCAGAGAAGCCCTGGAAATGCACAAAATAAAATGCAAAGTTTTAAAAAGTCAGAATTGTTGTCACATGCCCATGTCCTGATGGGATAGTTGAGGACTCTGCCTTCCGACAGGGACTGTGCAAAGTGGTCCCGATTCGAACGATACCTTTTTGGCAGAGCTGCGGATTCTGGGAAGCATGTATATCTCCTCCAGCTCCTTCTGCCGCTCCTCCTCTTCCGCTTTCTTCCGCTGCTCCTCAGGGATGATATCATCCCAGTCTTTCTGAGAGCTCTCCTCCAGCTCGGCTTCCTCCTCTCCCATTGTGGCAAAATTTGCAACCTGGTATGAGCATATAAGCATAGATATGTCCAAGAGAAAGAAACAGAAAGGAATGTGTAGGCAAGAATCATCGAATCCTAGAACAATAAAATTGGATGAGACTACATGGGCCATCTAGTCAAACCCCCTGCCATGAAGGAAAAACACAAAACATCCCTGACATATGGCCATCCAGCCTCCGTTTAAAAGCTTCCACAGAACAGGCTTCCACCAGACTTTGAGGCAGAGAGTTCCACTGCTGAACAGCTCTTACGATCAGGAAGTTCTTCCTAATGTTCTCTCTTTGAACCCATTGCTCCGAGTCCTAGTTTCAAGGGCAGCAGGATACAATTTTGCTCCCTCTTCCTTATGACACTCTTTCACATATTTATCCATGGCTCTCATGTCTCCTCTCAACCTTCTCTTCTGTAAGCTAAATAGACACAGTTCTTTAAAACACTCTCATTTGTGGTCTCCAGACCTTTGATCATTTTAGTTGCCCTTTTCCTCTGGACGCCTTCCAGCTTAGAGTCAATATCTCTTCTGAATGTGGTGCCCAGGATTAGTTACAGTCTTCCAGGTAAAGAGGTCTGACCAAAGTAGAATACAATGGCACCACAATGTCCCTCGATCTAGACACAATCCTCCTTTGGATGCAGCCCAAAATCCCTTTGGCTTTTTAAGCTGCTGCATCACACTCTTGGCTCATGTTCACTTTCCCCTCCACAAAGACTCCAAGATATTTCTCACATGGACTGTTGTCGAGCCAGCCGTCACCCATCATGTATCTTTGCATTTCATTCCTTTCTGAGTGCAGTATCTTATATTTCTCCCTGTTTAAATTCATTGTGTGGGTTCTGGCCAATCAGCTTTCTAATCTGTTAAGACCGTTTCGAATCCTGATCCTGTCCTCTGGAGTATTAGCGATCCCTCCTAATTTGGTCCCATCTGCAAACTTAGTAAGCAGAGATATTGACAAGCTGGAATGTGTCCAGAGTAGGGCAACTAAAATGATCAAGGGTCTGGAGAACAAGCCCTATGAGGAGCAGCTTAAAGAGCTGGGCATGTTTAGCCTGAAGAAGAGAAGGCTGAGAGGAGACATGATAGCCATGTATAAATTTGTAAGAGGAAGTCAAAGGGAGGAGGGAGCAAGCTTGTTTTCTGCTGCCCTGGAGACTAGGACATGAAACAATGGCTTCAAACTCCAAGAAAGGAGATTCCATCTGAACATGAGGAAGAACTTCCTGACTGTGAGAGCTGTTCAGCAGTGGAACTCTCTGCTCAGGAGTGTGGTGGGGGCTCCTTCTTTGTTTAAATTATAATTTTTATTCTGAAGAAAAAAATCTGTAATGATACAATAAAAGAGGGAGAACATTTCATGAGTATAGAAAAGTGGGAAATAAAGTGAGAAATAAAGAAATAAACTAATTTCTAAAAGAAGAAGAGAGGGGAAAAAAAGAAAAAAAAGAAAAAAATCCTAAAATAGAGCAGGAGTGGAATAGAAATTTGGTACTTCCTATCTTCGCCTCGAAGAATTAATATCTAAGGTAAAGGTAAAAGAGAGTTATTTATATAGTCCTTTTAAAGTTTGAATTCAGTCATTCCATGTATTTCATATAATAGCTTCTTCTACTATTATTTCCAGATTTTCGTTTTTCAAAAAACATTTCAGGGGTGTCCAGTCCGTTTTCTTTGTGGGATATGGGGAGTGACATGAGATTTGATATGTCAATATGTCCATATTCATTATATCTAATAGTACCCATTTTTGACCTACATGACGACAGCAGCAAGATTAACGTATGCAAAACTATGGAAACAAGAAATCACTCCAACCAGAACACTATGAGGCTCCTTCTTTGGAAGCTTTTAAACAGAGGCTGGATGGCCATCTGTTGGGGGTGCTTTGAATGCAATTTTCCTGCTTCTTGGCAGGGGGTTGGACTGGATGGCCCATGAGGTCTCTTCCAACTCTATGATTCTATGACCCTCTAAATCTTCATCCAAGCCATTAATAAAGATATTGAACAGTATTGGGCCCAGGACAGAACCCTCTTTATGACACTCCACTAGTCACTTCTTTCCAGGATGAAGCAGAGGAACCATTGGAGAGAAACACCCTTTGGGTTCGGTCGCTTAACCAATTACAGAGCTACCTAATAGTAGCACTGCCTAGTCCACATTGGACTAGCTTGCTTGCAAGAAGGTCATGGGAGACTTGACGAATACAGAGACCATTTCAGATTCCACTTTTTTCAAGATTCATCCATACCTTAAATTGGGAGAGAAGCTCATCCGTTGCGCTGTTGGAGGCTTCGTTCTCTCGTGTTTCCGCCAAGCGAAGGATTTCTTCAATGTCCATTTCCTGATAGTTTTAGGGGGGAAAGGGGGAGTGATCAAACTCAACAGCCAGAAACTCAACAAGGGGGAACACGCTGGAGATACGAAGTTCAGAACAAAATGGAAAGAACTTGGGAGGAGGAATCTGAACACTACGAGGGAACTTGGATGGAAAAGGATGCCCAGCGTTTCCAAGACTTAGGAAGCATGTTTAGTTAGTAATCCAAATTACAATCACAGCTATGTCTCATTTTTCATGCCAAACCCCATCCCACCCTGCAAAAAATATAACTTTCAAGCTGTGCAAAAGGGAACCATTTACTTCCAATGTCAACTTATCTGGCAGTAAGATTGGAATGAAATCTTGACCCGTCACCGATGGACAAAGCTTTCTGATTCAAATGGAAATTCCAACCCAATCTCACTATAGCCATATTTGAAATTCCTTGGTCCACATTCATTTCCTCCCAGTTTTCTCCCAGTATTGTGAATCAACCCAGTCTTATTTTACTATTGTAGGGGCAACGGGGAAGTTCTTCACTATAGCAACTTTGTGCTTTGGAAGAGGCCTAATTCAAATTCTTTTAATCGGTTTTTAATGGCTCTGAACTATTTATTTTGAATAGTTTTATGCTGACTTTTAGTGTTTATATGTTTTAGGTGCATTCCTAATACCACTAATAGTGATACCTTTATTTCTTTGTATTTCATTGCATTGCTTTTGTCATTTTTAGTTACTGTGACTTTTATTTTCAATAGTCCTATATTAACTTTTAGTTAATAATACCATTATTATTATTATTATTATTATTATTATTATTATTATTTTGTTGAAGGCTTTCATGGCTGGAATCATGGGTTGCTGTAAGTTTTCTGGGCTGTCTGGCCATGTTCCAGAAGCATTCTCTCCTGATGTTTCACCTGCATCTATGGCAGGCATCCTCAGAGGTTGTGAGGTCACAACTTCTGAGGATGCCTGCCACAGATGGAGGTGAAACATCAGGAGAGAATGATTCTGGAACATGGCCAGACAGCCCGGAAAACTTACAGCAACCCAATAATAATTTTATTTCATAGTATTTCATTGTATTGTTTTAGCATTGTTAGCTATTTTGAGATTTATTTTTAACAGTCCTATATTGACTTTTAGTATTTATATGTTTTAGGCATAATACTATTTATTTATGTATTTCATACATTTATATCCCATCCTTCTCACCCCCGGAAGGGACTGAAGGCGGCCTCACAACCGGCAACAATTAGATGCCCAAACAAAGACAATTATAATAATAGTTTACATTTAAAACAATTAGTTAAAAAATAGAAAATAGAAAACATCCAATTAAAATTACGCAAGTTCAAGTAATAATCCAGGTCAGTCCATTGTCAGTCAAACAAATCATTTTCATTATTATCGCTGTGTCTGGTGCTCAAATGCTTGATCCTACAACCATATTTTAAGTTTTTTTCTTAAAGGATAGGAGGGAAGGGGCCAATCTGATTTCCACAACCGACAGGCCACCACTGAGAAGGTCCTGTCTCTCGTCCCCACCTGTTGTGCTTGCAAGGGTTGTGGGACTGAGAGCAGAGCCTCCCCCAATGATCTTAATCTCCAAGGTGGGTCGTAGAGAGAGATATGTTTGGACAAGTAAGCTGGGCCAGAACCATTTAGGGCTTTATAGACCAAGACGAGTACCTTGAATTGTGCTCGGTAGCAAATTGGCAACCAGTGGAGCTGACATAACAGATTGGGTGGTACTACTAATACTACTAATAATATGGCCTAAGGGCTAATCAATAAAATTAATGTATGCATGTATTTATTTATTTACTACTACTACTACTACTAATAGTAATAGTAATAATAATAATAATAATAATAATAATAATAATAATAATAATAATAATACATTTGGAATTTCAGGATGGCATTTGCATTTATTTCAGTTTTTAAAAGACAAGACCAAATGAAACGTATGGAGAAGAAGAAGAACAGCCTGCCAATCCCATGTGTACCTTGCACAGTCCTGGGAGGAGAGGTCGTGTCGGCAGAGAAACCATCGGGTCGACCTACCTGAGGCTCTGATTCTTCCCCTTCCGGTTCCTTGAAGAGGTCTTCTGCCCCAAACTTCAAGATGGCAGTCAGCTCTTCCTTGTTAAAAGGGTTTGAGCTACAGGGAAACAAACCAAAAAGAATGTTTGGTCAAATTGAAAGGTTCTTCTTGCTTGATCCGTTCCAGACTTCCCTGCTCATCTCTTTCAGGAGCAAGACGGTGAAACTGTCATCTGCCTTGATCCCTTTGATGGAGAGGTTCCGGTCCAGTTTTGGGTTCTCCCTACTCTACTGCTTTGCATCTACTAGGCATGTGAGATCCATTACAAATTGTTTTAAAGTCATTACAAAACTGGGGGGCACTGCTGTTTCATTTCTAAAGTGTTTCTAAAGTATAGTTAGTGAAAAATGTGTTGCTATAATGAGAGTAATGAAATTTCTATAATTGGGGAAACTTCAAGGGCTTCTATCTCCTTGATTTTTACAGATATTGAGGTGAAACTCATTACAATGGTAAAGCACATTTACCACTCTTATCCCAACAAATTTCAGAACATTTCACTTACCCATGCATTTTTTGGGGAATTTTCAAAGTGTTTATAAACAACACCTTTTAATAATAAAGAAAACATGTTCCTAGGTTCTTGTGGGTTTTTTCGGGCTATAGGGCCATGTTCTAGAGGCATTGACGTTTCGCCTGCATCTATGGCAAGCATCCTCAGAGGTAGTGAGGTCTGTTGGAATTAGTACAATGGGTTTATATATCTGTGGAATGGCTGGGGTGGGGCATAGAACTCTTCTCTGCTGGAGCTACGTGTGAATGTTTCAACTGACCACCTTCATTAGCATTTGAAGGCCTGGCTGAGCCACAAGAACCTAGTGATTCCAGCCATGAAAGCCTTCGACAATACATTGAACATGTTCCTAGTTTGAAAGTGTTATTTCCTGTTTGATGGTGTAGTCCTTACATTGAAAGTAGTACTTCTACACCAGGAATTTTGTTTGTGCACCAAATACTTTGCTAAATGGGTGGGTGACAATGTTAAATTGATGGACTGGATAGCAAAATGTGCTATAGGACAATGTCCCTCACACACAAAGTTTTCACAGTTTAATAAACTTTCACTATGTTTTAATGATGGAACCAATAAGGAAATGACATTTATAACCCAGTAACAAAAATAATAATTTATTGGAAATCTGGCTGGCTACAGAGAGGTAAATCTATCTGGTGCTGAACAGTGCACTGCATTATGGGAAATGCAGTTTAGGTCAGGGCTTTTGAATTCTCTGGCATAGGGCTCCTCCCTTCCCAACCTACATTTCCCAGAGTTCTGTGCTGTTCCCAGCAAACATTCCCTCTTTTCTCTGCTCCTAATGCTGAGAAACCATTAATTTACAGAAGAAAGGCAAGGCACTAACACAGCCTTTTTGGCTTTGCTTTGCTTCCTTGCACTGAATATGAAACTGTCTTCCAAAATTTACAAAACTAAAACAAAGTATGGGGTAAGTTTCAATTCTTAAATTTTTGACATAGGTCATGCCACGTGTCGGATATTGTCTCATAAGCACGAATTTAACCAATTTGATCCTAATTAGAGGACTAACAAAAATGCACACCACTAGCATCTACAATACCCTTACACCACCTTTTCCCTTGGCAGTGCCTTACTTGGTTCTTCCAGAGTTGTTGTCCAGAACGGTCCGGCCGGTGGTGTCCATGCGCTGTATCACCAGATGGTCCAGCACCATCTTCTTCTTGGCTCTTTCAATGATCTCCTCTTCCACTGTCCCTTTTGTAACCAAACGGTAGATGTTCACCTGTTGGGGAGAAAGTGGTCTTTAGACATAGGTTCAAATCCAGAATGCACAAAATATTTTTTTCGAAAAGTCATTATCAGACCTAATGTAAAGCTATTGCAAGGTTTTCTTGACACAATTTGTTCAGAGGATGTTTGTCCTTGCCTTCTTTTCATGTTGCAAACGTGACACAAGGAAGGACAGGAAATGTCTCCAAGGGATAGAGCTGGATGCTCTTTGTGGTCCTTTCCAACTCGGAGCTTTTATGGTTGCTCACCTGCTTCTTCTGCCCGATCCGGTGAGCCCGGGCCTGGGCCTGCAAGTCATTCTGTGGGTTCCAGTCCGAATCAAAGATCACCACAGTGTCTGCCGATGCCAAGTTAATGCCCAGTCCTCCGGCTCGTGTGGACAACAAGAAACAGAAGTCCTGAGCATGGGACACAATATTAAGACAGATATAGTGAAGTCAGGGTCAGTTGAGAGACAACAGGGATCATCAGAGAGATGCAGAACAGAACACCAGAAAGGCTGAAGGAGTAGAAAGGTGAGGATCTGACTACATTTCTTAAAACACAATAAGACCCCCTTATCCATGGATAATATGTTCTAAAGCACATGTGTCAAACTCAAGGCCTGGAGCCCTCCAGATGATCATCTACAGCTGCTGTGTTTCTCATCTTTAGGCATCATGACTGTGATGCAGTAACAAATGGAAAGATACCGCTCATTCTGTTCAGTTCGGAGAGTGAGGTTTGAACTGAGACACAAGGCATGTGGATAGGATGTCGGACTTTAAAAATGCGCTTCGATGTATTGTCGAAGGCTTTCGTGACTGAAATCACTGGGTTGCTGTGAGTTTTCTGGGCTGTGTGACCATGTTTTAGAAGCATTCTCTCCTGACGTTTTGCCTGCATCTGTGGCAGGCATCCTCAAAGGTTGTGAGGTCTGTTGGAAACTAGACAAGCTTCAATGTCTGGCTGCAAGGCCATTAAATGCTAATCAAGGTGGTCAATGGCAACATTCACACATGCCTCAAGCAGACAAGAGTTCTTTCTCCCACCTTGGACATCATCCCACAGATATATAAACCCCACTTGCCAAATTTCCAACAGACCTCACAACCTCTGCAAATTCACCAATGCTTGCTCTACATCCTGGAAAGAAGTGATGAGCGGAGTGCTGCAGAATTCCATCCTGGGTCCAGTCCTGTTCAACATCTTTACTAATGAATTAGATGAAGGGTTAGAAGGCATGATCATCAAGTTTGCAGATGACACCAAATTGGGAGGGATAGCCAATACTCCAGAGGACAGGAGCAGAATTCAAAACGATCTTGACAGATTAGAGAGATGGGCCAAAACTAACAAAATGAAGTTCAATAGGGACAAATGCAAGATACTCCACTTTGGCAGAAAAAATGAAATGCAAAGATACAGAATGGGAGATGCCTGGCTCGAGAGCAGTACATGTGAAAAAGATCTTGGAGTCCTCGTGGACAACAAGTTAAACATGAGCCAACAATGTGATGTGGCGGCAAAAAAAGCCAATGGGAATTTGGCCTGCATCAATAGGAGCATAGTGTCTAGATCTAGGGAAGTCATGCTACCCCTCTATTCCGCTTTGGTTAGACCACTTTACCTGGAATATTGTGTCCAATTCTGGGCACCACAATTCAAGAGAGATATTGACAAGCTGGAATGTGTCCAGAGGAGGCGACTAAAATGATCAAGGGTCTGGAGAACAAGCCCTATGAGGAGCGGCTTAAAGAGCTGGGCATGTTTAGCCTGAAGAAGAGAAGGCTGAGAGGAGACATGATAGCCATATATAAATATGTGAGAGGAAGTCATAGGGAGGAGGGAGTAAGCTTGTTTTCTGCTTCCCTGGAGACTAGGACATGGAACAATGGCTTCGAACTACAAGAGAGGAGATTCCATCTGAACATGAGAAAGAACTTCCTGACTGTGAGAGCCGTTCAGCAGTGGAACTCTCTCCCCGGAGTGTGGTGGAGGCTCCTTCTTTGGAAGCTTTTAAACAGAGGCTGAATGGCCATCTGTCAGGGATGCTTTGAATGCAATATTCCTGCTTCTTGGCAGGGGGTTGGACTGGATGGCCCATGAGGTCTTTCCAACTCTTCTATGCCTGCCATAGATGTGGGTGAAACATAAGAGAATGCTTCTGGAACATGGCCATACAGTCTGGAAAACTCACAGCAACCCAATGCCCTTCAACATTTTCCCCAGCCTCAGAGACATGAGAGCCATTGCGTTGCAATTCTCATCATCCCCACCCCTCATGGCGGATCATCACAAGTGATGTGAGTTGTCGTTCAACAACATCTAGGGACCCCAACTGGGTAAAAACTAAAGAGTACTAATTACAATGTGAAATAAACTTTAGTTGGTCCTCAAGGGAAATGTATTTGAATAAAAGAATAAAGAGGGGAGTTCTTCAAGGTGGAGGACTTTGCAGGAGGAGCATTTGTTTTGATGTTTCACCCCATAAGGCCTATGAGTTATGTTTGAGGATTTCTCTTCTGAAATGGGTAAGAGCTGTAGTGTCCACCCACTTTCATAGGGTGAGCAATAACCTCTTTCAGATGATCTGGCAAAGAGTCCAGAAAGGGACTGGCCTTTGTTTCCTATTTTATAAAGGGCACCACAGTGCCACAAACATCTATTTCATGAAAGGATCAAAGCTTGGATATTTCCGTACTGATTTAGGGTTGCAACTTTCCTTTCCCAATTACGTATACAGGCCAAAGCTGGGGATTCAAAGTGCTGGCTTTAGCCTATAAAGCCCTAAATGGTTCTGGCCCAGCTTACCTGTCTGAACATATCTCTCCTTATGAACCATCTAGGACCCTAAGATTTTCTGGGGAGGCCCTGCTCTCGGTCCCGCCTTCTTCACAGACTTGGTTGGCGGGAACGAGGGACAGGACCTTCTCAGCAGTGGCCCCTTGGCTATGGGACGCCCTCCCTAGAGATATCGGATCAGCCCCCACCCTCCTAACAATGCAAAAAAAAAGTTAAAACCTGGCTTTTTGAGCAAGCTTTTCCAAATGTAGTGTAGCAGACAAACTCTGATCTTCGGAACGACTGGACAATGCGATTGGGTTATGATTTTAGTAATGAGAAGCTGTGGATTTATACTTTTATATTTTTTTAATTTTATCAAATGTTATTTATGCTAAATGCTTTAATTATTGTTACTGTTGGTATAGAATTGTGCCATTTGTAAACCACCCTGAGTTGCCGTCAGGCTGAGAAAGGTGGTATATAAATATGGTTAATAAATATTAAAAAAAAATATCCTGCCCCTACTGCCATGCATCTTTTCTGACCATAAGCTAGCAGTCATTCCAGCTAGGGGATTATGGGAGCTGCAATCCAAAAGTGTTGGATTTTTCCAAGCTCTGGCACAGGAACTGCTAACAGAAATTGGAGAGGGCAGACAACAGGTCAAGACAGGCAATGTTTCGGATGCTAACAGAAGCAAAGAAATTGAGTAACTCATGCTTTGTTACACTGCACCAAGAATGGATAGAGAAGGGGACTTGGCACCATCCACAGAACCAATTTGCAACAGGGATCTTTCAAAGACCAGTCAGGTCAGATAAGCTTCTTCCACCTGTCATATTCAGAGTTTGGAACCCAAAACTATTAGGTATGCTGCTCTGGGGATCGAAGGAGCTGCTTGAATTCCTCAAATTCAGTCCCTTCCCTTCTGCAACCGCAGCCTGCCAATTCCAGGTCTGCACAGGGGCAAACTCCGACCTCCGTACCTCTGAGCCCTCGGCGTTGAAGTGATCCAGAGCCTGCTTCCGGATCTCGCCTTTGATCGAGCCGTCCAGCCGCTGTGAGGAACAAGGGCAGCTGGGTTAAGGGGGGCTGTGGCACACCCAGAGAAGCCCACTGCCCACATTCAAGCAAAACCAGCCACACAGACCCCATGCTCTGCTCCGTCCCAGGCCTGGAGCAAGGTGACACGTTTTAAAAATAACAACAGGTTTAAAAATAGCTCCGTTGCCACCAGCGGACTCTGCAAAGCAGCAGGTGACTCCGCAGCTCCCCTTACAAGCCCAGAGCCAGGGCTTTGCCTGGCAAGAAGGCAGCTTGTTGCAAAGGGAGAGCTCTGCAGCCAAGCATGGGAGAAGCACATCTGCTTTGAGTGTAACCCCATAGCAATAGACACAACACATCTAAGGTTGTGATGGGCTTCATGTGGAATAGTGGATCATGGCAAACAGCATAACTTGAAGTGGCAAATGTGCCTCACCTGGAATGGGTAGTGCTTAATGGTTAAGTACTCTGCCAAGATGTCCAGCATCCGCACCATTTGGGAGAAGATGAGGACTCGGTTGCCCCTTTCCCGTAGCCGGCTCAGCAGTTTGTCCAAGAGGATGAGTTTCCCGCTGCTCCTGATCAGAGACTGGACAAAGAACCATTTGTTAGCTCTAAGCTCTGTTCTAAACTTCATTAAGTGGCTAAGACAAGCCCAGCTCTCTACCACCGTCATCTCAATTCCACTTTTATCTACTACAGTGTTTCTCAACCTGGGGGTGGGGACCCCTGGAAAGGTCATGAGGAGGGTTTCAGAGGGGTCAACAAAGACCATCAGAAAACACATATTTCTGGTGGTCTTAGGAACCCCTTTGGCAGAGAAGGCTGAAGATGTAGTGAACTACAACTCCCAGAATTCAAAAACACCCCCCACCCCACTAGTATTCAATGTTGGCCATGTAGGTAGTGTGCCGAGTTTGGTGAAGATCCATTGTGGACTGTGTTCAGAGTGCACTTTGAATGTAGGTGAACTATAAATCCCAGCAATTACAACTCCCAAATGTCAAGGTCTATTTTCTCCAAACTCCACCCGTGTTCACATTTGGGCATATTGGGTGTTTGTGCCAAATTTGGTCCAGTAAATGAAAATACATCCTGCATATCAGATATTTACATGATAGTTCATAACAGTAGCAAAATTACAGTTATAATAATAATAAATAATAACACTTTATTTATATTCCACCCTTCTCACCCCGAAGAGGATTCAGGGTGGATCACAACACATACATAGCAAACATTCAATGCCACTTTTGTATAGACAATACACAGACAGACAAAACAGAAAGGAAGCGTTGTTGACTCAGTGTCCAGCTGTTTTTTGGAGCCAAGGAAGGTGAGTCCAGCCACAGGGGGTGCTGTTGCTCCATTCTCTATGCTGTAGAGTTGTCAGGACTTCCTCCTTCCTTTTTGATCACCCAGCATTTCCTGATCTTCTTTCTTTATGGCATCGTAAAACACCTCCCCCACTTTTTAGCAGTACCTAATTTCTCTAATTACAGCTAAAGCTGTTTTTGAACTGCTTAGGTAAACCGTGAGCAAGGGCTGACAGTCGGCCGCTCACGCCGACCTGGGCTTCCAACTTGCAACCTTTCGGTTGACAGATCTTCTAGTTGCTGGTGATTTATCAGCTGTGCTAAACCTCTGGCCCCAATATGGCAACAAAAATAGCAACAAAAATAATTTTATGGTTGGGGTCACAACATGAGGAACTGTATTAAGGGGTTGAGGCATTAGGAAGGTTGAGAAACACTGATTTATTAAATTACGGGGAGATAATCCTGGCTCGCCTCAAAGGATTGTGGAGTGGAGTGCAATTATAAATTACCCCCAACCGTCATGTAAACAGCTATAGGTAAAGGTAAAGGTAAAGGTAAAGGTAAAGGTAGTCCCCTGACATTAAGTCCAGTCATGTCTGACTCTGGGGTGTGGTGCTCATCTCCATTTCTAAGCCGAAGAGCCAGCGTTGTCCGTAGACACCTCCAAGGTCATGTGGCCAGCATGACTACATGGAGCGCCATTGCCTTCCCGCCGGAGCGGTACCTATTGATCTACTCACATTTTCATGTTTTCGAACTGCTAGGTTGGCAGAAGCTAGGGCTGACAGTGGAAGCTCATGCCGCTCCTCGGAATCGAACCTGCAACCTTTCGATCAACAAGCTCAGCAGCTCAGTGCTTTAACCCACTGTGCCACCGGGGGCCCCAGCTATAGGATGCCCTTTTTAAACCCCTACTTCTGTGGGATGGAGCAAAGAGACACTTCGGATGGGTAGTTTTTCTCCCACAAGTGGATGTGACCCTTGATTGAAGTTTTCAGCAAAAGAAAGTAAGATGGGAAATACCCACTGAGCAGTGCTTCCCAACCTTTGGTCCTCCAGGTGTTCTGGACTTCAGCTTCCACAATTCCTAATAGCTGATGAGGTTTCTGGGAATTGAAGTCCAAAACAACTGGAGGACCAAAGGTTGGGAACAACTGGCATAGAATACGTAAGGCAACCTTGTACCCGTGCCCCTCAACCTTGCTCATCTAGCAAGAAGGTTTCGAAACATACGTTCTTGCATAATTTGGTCCTGTTTGAAAGCCCACCTTTCACACAGCACATCTCCATATCCATGGACTCTGAAATGGTGGATTCAACCAAATATGGGTTGGAATTAAAAATATTTGAGAAAATAAATTGCATAAAATTGGTGAATGGGTGGTTATGCACTTGCAAGAAATGCCATGACCAATACTCCATGCAAACCCCAGTGGGAGTGCTTTTTGAGAGACTCCAACATGTCCATGTTAAAATTAGCACCATTTTATAATAAAGAATCTGCAGATCATGGTATCCACAATGGGTCCTGGGATCAATTCCCTACAGATATCCAGGGCTGGCTATAATTGCGATGTGGCTAATGTCCCTCCACTTTTTGGCTACCCTTGGTTCCCCACTCACCAAGAGCAGCTCCTGGTTGTTCTCCCTCTCATTCTCCTCAGGAGATTTGATCAGATAGCAATGGTTGCAACACTTCTTCAGCTCCATCACTATGTTCAAGAAGCCAGAAGTACTGCCACGGGTCCCCTTGGAAAGGGCTTTGTAGTTCCTTGTTAAGATCCACCTATGGAAAGAAAACCGGTAGGTACACTTCAGCCTGTGTTGGTGCACTTCAATCCCCAAATGACTTGGTGGCAAACAACAACAAGAAGAAGAAAAAGACTTGCATCCTTGGAAATCCCACGATAACCTCCAAGACACCTACTTGTAATACTGCTTCTGGAGGGCAGACATCTCGACCCGAAGAATCTGCTCCACTTTGGCGGGGAGAGACTTCTCCACATCCTTCTTCACCCTGCGCAGGAGGAAGGGCTCCAGGACTTTGTGGAGGCTCTGGTACCCGTTATCTCGCCCCTTCCCATGCTCATCTTCAAAATCTTCCCAGAATTCAAACCTGAGAGCAAGGAGGGACAAAAGAGATGAACTATCAAGATTTTGACTAGGTTCTTGTGGGGTTTTTCGTGCTATAGAGCCATGTTCTAGAAGCATTTCTCCTGACGTTTCGCCTGCATCTATGGCAAGCATCCTCAGAGGTAGTGAGCTCAAGATTTTGAGCTTCTTCATAGAATCGTAGAGTCTGAAGGGGCTTCATGAGCCATTGAGTCCAAACCCTTGCTTACTTTTGAAAAATCCAGCTAGGTTTTGTCCTTCCTTCTTTCCTTCCTTCCTCTCTCTACACTACAGTAATCCAACATTCTCTGATGAACTACATGCTTCCATGTATATCTGCTTTTATCTACTTATTTATAATGTTGGAAAGGGGGCTTCATGGGCCATTGAATCCAACCCTTCCTTACTTTAGAAAAATTCAGTTAGTCCTTTCCTTTCCTCCTTCCTTCCCTTTCCTTTTTCCTTTCCTTTCCTTTCTCCTTTTTCCTTTCTTTTTTCCTTTCCTTTCCTTTTTCCTCTTCTTTTTCCTTTCTCTTTTCCTTTCCTTTCTCCTTTTTCCTTTCTTTTTTCCTTTCCTTTCCTTTCTGCACCATTGGATAGAACTGCACTTGAGTATGAACAGATTTGGAACCAAACTCTGGTGGATACCAAGGACCCACTGCAATTTTTGTGTCTAGTTGGATTGTGAAGGTAGCAAGCTTTCAGACTATAGAGATATCTCCATCAAACCGCCTGCTATTTCTGTGATCTGGCATCTGTTGGATTGCATGTCAGAGTGCTACAGGTTTTCATCTGAACTTTTAAAAAATCATCTGTTGATTGAATCAATTTCTGAGAATAAGTTTTGAAGCTTAGATGAAAACCCAGAATCATCTCCTGCATAAATACAGAAGCCATTGGTTCTCTCTCTAGTCATAGAATCATAGAATCAAAGAGTTGGAAGAGATCTCATGGGCCATCCAGTCCAACCCCCTGCCAAGAAGCAGGAATATTGCATTCAAATCACCCCTGACAGATGGCCATCCAGCCTCTGTTTAAAACCTTCCAAAAGAAGGAGCCTCCACCACACTCCGGGGCAGAGAGTTCCACTGCTAAACGGCTCTCACAGTCAGGAAGTTCTTCCTCATGTTCAGATGGAATTTCCTCTCTTGTAGTTTGAAACCATTGTTCCACGTCCTAGCCTCCAGGGAAGCAGAAAATAAGCTTGCTCCCTCCTCTGTGGCTTCCTCTCACATATTTATACATGGCTATCATATCTCCTCTCAGCCTTCTCTTCTTCAGGTTAAACATGCCCATCTCTTTAAGTCGCTCTTCATAGAGCTTGTTCTCCAGACCCTTGATCATTTTAGTCACCCTCCTCTGGACACATTCCAGCTTGTCAACATCTTCCTTCAATTGTGGTGCCCAGAATTGGACACAGTATTCCAGGTGTGGTCTAACCAAGGCAAAATAGGGGAGCATGACTTCCCTAGATCTAGACTATGCTCCTATTGATGCAGGCCAAAATCCCATTGGCTTTTTTTGCCGCCACATCACATTGTTGGCTCATGTTTAACTTGTTGTCCACGAGGACTCCAAGATCTTTTTCACACGTATTGCTCTCGAGCCAGGCATCGTCCCCCATTCTGTATCTTTGCATTTCGTTTTTTCTGCCTAAGTGGAGTATCTTGCATTTGTCCCTGTTGAACTTCATTTTGTTAGTTTTGGCCCATCTCTCTAATCTGTCAAGATCGTTTTCGAATCCTGCTCCTGTCCTCTGGAGTATTGGCTATCCCTCCCAATTTGGTGTCGTCTGCAAACTTGCAAACAGTTCGTATTAAATGGGAGTCAATTCAATTGAGTCAATTCAATGGAGAGGTAAAAGTGACCAGTGTTCACTGGTTGGGAATTGTGTTGTGAAGGAACTGAACTAGTAGTAGTGCTCTGATCCTACATCTAGATGTGTCAACTCCTTGAGCCAGCTGCCATTCTCGCATCCTCTTCCAAGCTCTCCCACTCCCATTGCTTCATTGTCTTGCTCTAACAACCCACCAGTTCAGCCCTCATTCTTTGGCCATTTGCTTACTTCTCCGGCATGATGAAATGCAGGAGGGACCAGAGCTCTTTGAGGGAGTTCTGCAGAGGAGTCCCTGTAATGAGCAGCCGGTGGTTGGACTTGAAGTCGATCAACGTCTTGTACAGCAAGGAGTCGTCATTCTTCAAGCGGTGGGCTTCATCCACACCCAGGAAGGCCCAGTTAATGCTCCCCAAAACAGTCTAGAGGAGAGGGAATCAAGCACATCATGTACCAAATAATTTTAAGCATGTTCCCCAATGTATCCAATTCCATGTGTTGTCGAAGGCTTTCGTGGCCAGACTCATTAGGTTGTTGTGAGTTTTCCAGTCTGTATGGCCATGTTCCAGAAGCATTCTCTCCTGATGTTTTACCCACATCTATGGTGAGGATGCCTATCATAGATGTGGGTGAAACATCAGGAGAGAATGCTTCTGGAATATTGGCATACAGCCCGAAAAACTCACAGGAACCCAGTACCAAATTCCTTCCATATTTGCCAAGAAAGCTTTGCCCATGGGCCATAGGACTTGAGTGTGTCGCAGAGGAGTCTGGGAATGTTTTAGAGTGCATATACTTATGTTGACAATTTTGTGAAGGATAACGCAGGGGGCTTGTAAAACTGCAACTCCCATGATTCAATAGCATTTAAATTGGTATCAACCACATTAATTCTACAGTGAACATAGACCTCAGCTTTCCAGTATTGGAAACAGTATTGACTATTGTTCACTGAAGAGACTGGAGATGAATGCATATTAGCAGCTTCTGGACTGAATTAGAAGAATGAGAGGACATGCAACACATATAACACTATGTAACAAAATTTGAAAAATGTTCTGTTCCTGGTTTGTAAATGTTATTTCTTGCTTAACTGTGTGGTACTTATTTTGAAAGTAGTTTTTCTACTCCAGAAACTTTGTTTTTGTGGTTGCCGGAAATTATTGATATAAACTCAATGAGATATTCATTGAAAAACTAGAGCAAAATGTGCTAAAGCAGGATGTCTGTTCCATACAAACAAAGTTTTTGCAGTTTAATCAACTTTTTCCAGGCTTTATGATAGAACCAATTAAGAAAGGACATTTATAACCCAGGAACAAAAATCATGTTACACAATGTCATTCAGTAGGTTGTCTACAGAAGTTCAGATAGCAAATACTCCTTTCTAAGCCAATAAAGTAACAGCTTGGGTTCTTTGCAGAGAGAAGAAGGGTGAGACCCCATTCTGCAAAGAAGCAGGAAAATCACATTCAAAGCCACTCAACAGATGGCCATCCAGCCTCTGTTTAAAAGCCTCCAAAGAAGGAGCCTTCACCACACTTTGGGACAGAGAGTTCCATTGCTGAACAGCTCTCTCTCACAGTCAGGAAGTTCTTCCTCATGTTCAGGTGGAATCTCCTTTCTTTCCTGTAGTTTGAAGTCATTGTCTCCAGGGCAGCAGAAAACAAGCCTGCTCCCTCACCCTTGTGACTTCTCCTCACATCTTTATCCATGGCTCTCATCATGTCTCTCCTCCGCCTTCTCTTCCGCAGGCTAAACATGCCCAGCTCTTTAAGCCGCTCCTCATAGGGCTTGTTCTCCAGACACTTCATAATTTGGGTTGTCCTCCTGTGGACACATTCCAGCTTGTTGACATTTCGCTTCAATTGTGGTGCCCAAAACTGGACACAGTGTGACTCCAAGCCTGATCTGACCAGGGCAAAATAGAGGGGAAGCATGACTTCCCTGGGTCTAGACAGTAGACTCCTAGTTTATGATGACATCCTCCTTTTTCCCCTCCAAAAGATACAACCCAGTTTCCTTGCCCACAAAGCATACCTTGTCCTTCAGAAGAATCTCATACGTTGTGATGAGTACGTTGAATTTCAGCCGTTTGCTCTGAGCATGGACCCACTCGTATTCACGGATCTAAGGAAGAAACAAAGCCATCGGAAATTAGCTTTTTCAGCAACCAGTGTTCCTCAACTTGGTGCCCCTCTAGGGTACCTTAAAACTGGAATGATTATCATCCCTTGGTCAGCATGCCTAATATTTTCCCATAAAAAGAAAGAAGGATTGGTAACAACCAACCGAAGGTATGTAGATAAGAAACAAGCTCTCAAGGGGTTGGAAAACATATTGATTTGGGTACATTATTTTGCTGCAAACACACTGTACTAATTTGTTTTAACCATGTGTTGAGATGCATTGTGCCCTCTATAAGACTGTGAGTATTGACGGTTCCTTCCTCTGAAATATTGGCAGTCTCTCATCCAAATGCTAACCAGGACTGATTCTGCTTAGCTTCCAAGGTCAGACACCTTTAGGGTATTTAGGCCATCTGACATAACAGGATGATAGGAAGCCAAAGTGGTGACAAAGCAAGTGCTGCACAGATCTAGGCAAGCTGTATTACGGAAGGAGGTACTAGGTACTGTCTTCCGTAATAGCTAGAAAAGTGCATACGTAGGCATAACCAGTGGCTACACCATCATATTTAATCAACAGGATTCAAGTTGTAAACTTCCATGGAGTATAGTTCTCTTCATGCAATGTTCAAAGCCCAATCCTTCACACAGAACTCAGAGAAGCAACACTAATACATAGTTCCCCAAATTCTCCAAGTGGTCTTGCTTATTGGTAGAGGAGATTCTTTTAAGGGTCCCATAATAACCTTCCCAAACTTTCCACTGAGAGGCAATGCCACAAAAACCCACCCAAAGAGGTGGTTCCATTTGTCACAGTTCTGTTACCCATCTTCCACGGCTCTAGCTTACGCACAGCATTCCTGCTCATCTGATCCCCGATGTATACGACCACGTTGATCTCTGGGGCCCAGCTCTCAAACTCCCTCTGCCAGGAGGTCAGCGTTGACAAGGGGACCACGATCAGGAAGGGGCCATACAGCTGATGCTGGTGGAAGAGGTAAGAGAGGAAGGAGATCGTCTGGATGGTCTTCCCCAGGCCCATCTCGTCAGCTAGGATGACGCTGTTGTTCCTACYTTGGGAAGGAAGAGGAGGAGAAAGAGATGGAGATGGCAATGGCAATGAAGGAGAAGGAGAAGGAGGAGGAGGAGGAGGAGGAGGAGGAGGAGGGGGGAGGAGGATGAGAAGAATGAGGAGGAGAAGGAGGAGAAGAAGAAAGAGATGATTGTGATGACAATGAAGGAGGAGGAAGAGGGGAAGAAGGAGAACGAGAAGGAGGAGATGGAGATGGTGATGCAAAGAAGGAGGAGGAGGAGGAGAAAGAGGAGAAGGAGCAGGAGGAGGTGGAAGGAGGAGGAGGAGATGGCAATGACAAGGAAGGAGGAGGAGATGAAGATGATGATGACAATGAAGGAGGAGGAGGAAGGGGGGAGGAGGAGATGGCAATGACAATGGAGCAGGAAAAGGAGGAGGAGGAGAATGAGAAGGAGAAGGAGAAGAAGAGAAGAAGAAACAAGATATGTGCCATGTGCATAGGAAGTTGTTCATGTTTTTTTTCAATGAGTTCACACAAACATTCTCCATCCAGCTGCCACTGACTTGGCCCATCTGCCAAATTTTTAAATGCAATGCAGCCTCTGTGTCCAAAAGTTTCTTGGGGCTCCACAAGAAACTATTCCTTCAAAAAGGACTCCACGGCTTTGAAAGTTTGAAAATTGACTGCTGTTGTTAAGTGCCAAGTTGGCTATCAGGGAACTTTTGGATAGGAGTTGTAATAGTGGGTCATGGCTCTTCAAGGGGGATAATGTCACCACCGAGCCCTCCATAGATGGCCACTTTGTCTGATGTGATCCATGCAAGCTCATTATCCACTCACTTGCACCATGAATGGGCCAGCCAGTTGAGGCCTTCTAGCTGATAATCCCGGAGTTCCAGGTTCTCCCCGCCAATATAAGAGGGTTGTTTCTTCAATGCCACAAACCGAGGCCTCTGCTTCAGCACCTAGAATGGGAAGCATGTTATGATAGAAAGTCCTTGGGACTTAACAGGGAATAGAGTTCAGCACCATGGATAGTTCCTTCCAGGCTAGAACCCAGAAGCAATTCACCATCCTCACTTCTTTGAGCTGACCCTCACCCCACATTTCAAGGGGGAGTATGCAAACCTTGCAGTCCCGAGTGGGCATGGTTTTGGAGTTGTTCCGACTGTTGAAGCTGTCGATGCAATGCTGGAATTTCTTGCAAATCAGGGCTTCGTCCTCCCAGCTGCAGTCGGCATACGAGAGCCCCATCCACTTGCAAAGGTATTCGGGTTCATTGGAGGAAGAGGACAGCTTGCGGTTATGAACTATATACACACAAGGAAGGAAAAGGACAAATGCATTCCCAGAATCACATCACTGCACAGCAGTAGGGTCATCTAATCTGACTGGCTGCTGATATAGGAAAGTCCACAGTGAAAGCATCCCTGACACATGGACATGCACCGGAAAAACCCGGTGCTCAAGGAGCAGTTTTTCACAGTGTTCCCTTTCAAGCATTCCCACACTTTTACAATGGGAACAACTCTGGAAAAAATAATTACAATTTACAAGAAGTTATACTGTAAAGGAGAATGTCTACAAAATGATGTATAGATTAATTAATTTATTTATTTACATATTTATATATTGCCCAGAGACAACTCAAGGTGGTTTACAGTTGGCAGTCAATGCCCCCAAACATAAATACAGTTTAAAACATTACATATAATATAAACCATATAAAAGCAATGAAACAACAAAAACCATAAAACACAAGCGTCTCATCACTAAAATCATTTTTCCGTCGCATCGTCCAATTGTTCCGTGGATCTCAATGACTCTGTTACACTGCGTCTGCAAATGCCTGCTCAAACAGCCAGGTTTTGACTCTTTCAAAATGTTAGGAGGGAGGAGGCCGATCTAATATCCCTAGGGAAGACGTTCCATAGCTGAGGGGCCACCGCTGAGAAGACCCTGCTCTCGTTGCTGCCAATCGCATCTGCGAAGGGCCTCACCAGATGATCTTAAGCGCCTAGATGGTTCACAGGGAGAGATGCATTCGGACAGGTAGCCTGGGCCGGAACTGTTTAGGGCTTTAAGAACTCCAGAAAAAGTTCTCCAGAACTCCAGTGCAAAGATATATAAAAGTTTGGATTTATGTTGGAAATGTAAACAGAAGAAAGGAACTTTTAAGCAAATGTGATGGGCCTGCCCAAAGACTAAAGATTTCTGGATACAAATTCATAATGAAAGGGAAACTATATTAAGAAACAGGCACCAAAAGTGGAAACCTTTCACTCTATGGCAGCCCACATCTGATCTAAGGCCAAGGTGGAGAGCCTTTGAGGGTCCCATTTCTGTTCTCCACAAACCCCCTCAATGGTTATATCTTTGATTTCCAATGAAACATAAGAATTGGGGAGAGAGGCAAGGTATAATAAGGTGTGGTAGGTTTTTTTCTCCCTACACCTTGCTCCATGGATTCAGTTCTCCCAAAGTGTTATCAGGTAGATGTCCTACAGAAGGCATTCAAGGGCCAAATGCAGCCAATGGGTCACAAGAATCCCATTGCTGGTCTAGGGCCAACCTTTAAACCTGGAACTTGTCTGACCCCAAACAGCCCTTTTCTTGTATCTTATCACTGCAACGAAGTAAAGTGTTTTTTTTAAAAAAGCCCCTACCTGGAAATTCAGAGCCAGGTGTTGCCGACTTGCTTGTCTTCACAGCTAGGCATCGAGGACAAGAAGATCATCCATAGATAGATAAAAGAAGAGAGATTTAGGGTCTCGAACAGAGAAAACGCCAACCTTGTGCTATAGCAGTAGTTCTCAACCTGTGGGTCCCCAGATGTTTTGATTTTCAACTCCCAGAAATTATTATTATTATTTACAGTATTTATATTCTGCCCTTCTCACCCTACAGGGGACTCAGGGCAGATTACAATGTACATATACATGGCAAACATTCAATGCTATAGGCACGCAACATATATAGTCAGACAGAGGCTATTTAACATTCCAGCTTCTGGCCACCAGGGGAGCTGTCGCTTCACCATCCATGATGAAGTACTTCTTCATTCTTTGCATGCTTGCTGGTGATTTTTATGGCCTCGTAAATTAGTTAAATTAGCCTCCACGCATAAGCGGTACCTAAATTTCCTACTTGATATGCAACTGTCTTTTGGGTTGCAAAGGTCGACAGCAAGCTACACAAATTGGTTGGAAGCTCACTCCAACCTGGGCTGGCTTCGAACTCATGACCTTTCAGTCAGTAGTGATCTTAATGCAGCTGACTCCCAGCCAGCTGTGCCACAGTCCCAATACTGGTAAACTGGCTGGGATTTCTGGCAGTTGTAGGCCAAAACATCTGGGGAACCACAGGTTGAGAACCACTGCGATATTTGTCCACTGAGAACATTAGACTGCCATATAATTGTTAGCCCCAACCAAGGATGGATCTACACCAGGCATGGGGAAACTTTGGCCTTCCAAGTGTTTTGGACTCCAACTCCCAAAATTCCTAACAGTTTCAGGCCCCTTCCTTTCTTTCTTTTCGTTTCCACTTAAGCAGCTGAGGGGAAAAAAGGAAAGAGCCTGAGGCTGTTAGAAATTGTGGAAGTTGATGTCCAAAACACCTGGAAGGGCCAAATTTGCCCATGCCTGGTCTACACTGCCATATAATCCAGATTACAGTATGTCACAAAATTGAAAAAAATCTGTTCCTGGTTTGAAGTGTTATTTCCTGTTTAATTGTGTAGTAAAAAAGATAAAAGTTGTCCCTTGACATTAAGTCCAGTCATGTCTGACTCTGGGGTGTGGTGTTCATCTCCATTTCTAAGCCGAAGAGCCGGCGTTGTCCATAGACACCTCCAAGGTCATGTGGCCAGCATGACTGCATGGAGCGCCGTTTGTGTGGTACTTACTTTGAAAGTCACTGTTATCCTCCAGAAACTATTTTTTTGTGGCACAAACTATGTGGAGCTGGTTGAGATATTCATTGAAAAACTATTGCAATATGTGCTATAGCAAGATGCCCCTCCCGTGGAAACAAAGTTTTTGCAGTTTAATAAACTTTTCCTATATCTTTATGACAAAACCTACTACGAAATGACATTTATCACCCCGGAACAAAAATCATGTTACATAGTGTAATCAAAGTAGATTATATGAGTCTACACAACTATATAATCCAGTTCGAAGCAGATCATGTGGATTTTATGTGGCAGTGTAGAAGGGACCTAAGATAAACTTGCTAAATCTGTGGCATTGAGGTGAAAATTTGGACATCCATTCAACCATTTCAAAGCTCCCTGCTCGAGTGGTGATGGCACAATCATCAGCATAGATGAAACTCGATCCAGTGGTCCTCAAACTTCCCAATGCCACGACCCCTTAATGCAGTTCCTACTGTTGTAATGACCCCCCAACCATAAAATTGTTTTAGTTGCTACTTCATAACTCTAATTTTGCTACTGTTATTAACTGTAATGTAAATATCTGATATACAGGATGCATTTTCATTCACTGGACCAAATTTGGCACAAATACCCGATACGTCCAAATTGGAATACTGATGTGGTTGGTGGGAAGGGGGGGGGGATCAATTTTGTCATTTGGGAGTTGTAGTTGCTGGGGTTTATAGTTCACCTACAATCAAAAAGCATTCTGAACTCCACCAATGATGGAATTTGGCCAACTTAGCACACATAATTCTCATGACCAACAGAGAATACTGGAAGGGTTTGGTAGGCATTGGCCTATGAGTTTGGGAGTTGTAGTTCACCTACATCCAGTGAGCACAAAGATAGATCTGGACCAAACTTGGCACAGATACTCAATATGCCCAAATGTGAACAGTGATGGAATTTGGGAAAAATAGACCTTGACATTTGGGAGTTGTAGTTGCTGGGATTTATAGTTCACCTACAATCAAAGAGCATTCTGAACCCCACAAATGATAGAATTGGGCCAAACTTCCCACACAGAACCCCCATGACCAACAGAAAATACTGTGTTTTCTGATGGTCTTTGGCGACCCCTCTGACACCCCTTTGCAACCCCTCCAGGGGTCCCGACCCCCAGGTTGAGAAATGCTGCTCTATCCCTTCTGGCAGTGGCTGATCATTTGTGTAGATATTGTAGTTTCTCAGCCTTACAGCAACAACCAGGGAGGAAAGGATTCAAATTTTATGAGGTGAAGGTCGGTTGCTGCACTCACCGATCACTCTTTCCACAATCTGGTATTGCTTGTTCAACTCAGCAGCCAACTCTTGCTTGCAGTTATAATACTCCACGTCTTCTGGGCTCACCTTTGCAAGCCTAGGCACAAACAGAGACAAGTAAAAGTAAATAAATATAATAGTACTATCTTGTTTTAATGTTTGAATATTTGTATATTTTAAATTGTATGCTGATCAAGTAACTGTTGGAAATGAGAGAGAAATGTTGGGACTTTTTAACCATATGTGGTGGCCTTGAAAAAGGAGCCAGAAATTGGTTGTTGTAGGTATTTGGGCTGTGTGTCCATGTTCTAGAAGCATTCTCTCCTGACATTTTGCCCACATCTATGGCAGGCATCCTCAGAGATTGTAACGTCTGTTGGAAACTGGAAAACGGAGTTGATATGTCTGTGCAAAGTCCAGAGTGGGAGAAAGAATTCTTGTCTGCTATAGCTAGGCGTGAATGTTTCAATTGGTCACCTTGATTAGCATTTGATGGCCTGACAGTGTTGCTTGTTACTGCCTGGGGGAATCCTTTGTTGAGAGGTGATTAGATGTCCCCGATTGTTTCTTGTCTGGAGTTCCCCTGTGTTTGAGTGTTGTTAAAATCATAGAATCATAGAATCAAAGAGTTGGAAGAGACCTCATGGGCCATCCAGTCCAACCCCCTGCCAAGAAGCAGGAAGATTGCATTCAAATCATCCCTGACAGATGGCCATCCAGCCTCTGTTTAAAAGCTTCCAAAGAAGGAGCCTCTACCACTCTCCGGGGCAGAGAGTTCCACTGCTGAACGGCTCTCACAGTCAGGAAGTTCTTCCTCATGTTCAGATGGAATCTCCTCTCTTGAAGTTTGAAGCCATTGTTTCCGTGTCCTAGTCTCCAAGGAAGCAGAAAACAAGCTTGCTCCCTCCTCCCTGTGGCTTCCTCTCACATATTTATACATGGCTATCATATCTCCTCTCAGCCTTCTCTTCTTCAGGCTAAACATGCCCAGCTCGTTAAGCCGCTCCTCATAGGGCTTGTTCTCCAGACCCTTGATCATTTTAACTCTAAAATTATAAGTGTAAATAAAGAACAACAGGGACAACTAATCATGGACAATCTTCAGCTATTGGCTTTCTGATATAGAAGAGTGTTATTGAAAGTAGAAAGGTAGAAATAAATTATACTTAAAGGAACCAACAAATAAGAAGTTAAAATCAATAGTTAATAAGCAAGAGGCTCAATTCAGTAGATGTCTGCTTGTTTAGAATGTGGTTGTATGCTTTAGATAAACATGTGCTCTTTACTTTTGTATATAACGAAAAATATTTTTTTTATTGTAGTTTTAATTTCATTTTGTGTTGTTGTATTTTATAAATATTGGCCACCTTGATTATCATTGAATACTTGATTACCCGTATTAAAAAAAACTCTAAAATCAGGATAGTAAATAAAGAGCAATACTCAAAAAACAGGGACATTCCAGACAGGAAACAATCAGGGCCAGCTAACACCTCCCAACAAAGGATTCCCCCAGACAGGAAGCAGCCAGGCTTTGAAGCTGCCAAGCCATTAAATGCTAATCAAGGTGGCCATTTGCAACATTCATGCCTGCCTCAAGCAAACAAGAGTTCTTTCTCCCACCCTGGACATCATTCCACAGATATATAAACCTCCCTTGTGTTGTTTCCAACAGACCTCATAACCTCAGAGGATGCCTGCCATAGATGTTGGAGAAACGTCAGGAGAGAATGCTTCTGGAACATGGCCAGGCAGCCCAGAAAACTCACAGAAACCCAGTAATACATTCAAACCAGGAAAAGAAAATGTTTCAAATGTTGTTACATAATTCACAAAAAAATAATTCAAAGTCAAACACGTGGCCATGACTCTTAGCCCATTCAGATCTGCGTGATGGTTGCCAACACAGAAAGAAAGCATAGGTCATTTGTGGGTATTAACCGCAAAGAGCGAAATCTGCAAAGAAGCCCAAGGGCGGCTTGCAAGCCACTGTACCATTGCTTGATTTCTTCCTCTTTCTTCTTGAAGTTCTCCAGCTTCTTCAGGCCTTTCACTTTCTGCTGCTGGAGGGAGTCCTCGCTCTCCCACGTGCTGTGGATGTGCGACCAGCCCTTCCACTTGATCAGGTACTGGGCCTCCCCTTCCTCCGCCTCAGGGTCAAAGTCGGCACAAGGGTCGCCATTGGCTTCGGTGGCATAGACCGTGGTGGAAGCCCCGACGGCTGCAAAAAGACATAACACAGGCTATCACTCGTGGCCAAGTATGACTGTCTTCTGGGGGTAGTAAAGTCTTTGCCGTGGGTCTGTAAGTGACTGTAGAGCAGGCATGGCCAAACTTCGACCTTCTTTCCAGGTGTTTTGGACTTCAACTCCCACAATTCTGCATAGTGGAGCCCCCGGTGGCGCAGTGGGTTAAACCCTTGTGCCGCCAGGACTGAATACCGACAGGTCGCAGGTTCGAATCCGGGGAGAGGCGGATGAGCTCCCTCTATCAGCTCCAGCTCCTCATGCGGGGACATGAGAGAAGCCTCCCACAAAGATGATAAAAACATCAAATCATCCAGGTGTCCCCTGGGCAACGTCCTTGCAGACGGTCAATTCTCTCACACCAGAAGCGACTTGCAGTTTCTCAAGTCGCTCCTGACACAACAAAAAAAAAATCTGCATAAGCGGCTGGGTGGGGGGGGGGGGGGGGAGGAATGGGCCTAAGGTTGTTAAGAATTGTGGGAGTTGATGTCCAAAACACCTGGCGGGCTCAAGTTGGCCCATGCCTGCTGTAGAGTCTTATTTGCAGTCAACCTGTTCCTATCTGGATATTAATGAAGTAGTTGTTCTTGGCAAAGCTTCCCCAAGAGCAGAGGTGAGCAGCTGTGTGGGAGTCAAGGCCCTATCATACCCAATTGAGAACCCCCCATTTATTATTATTATTATTATTATTATTATTATTATTATTATTATTAACATGTACTTTTTTTGTCGTGTCAGGAGCAACTTGAGAAACTTCGAGTTGCTTCTGGTGTGAGAGAATTGGACGTCTGCAAGGACATTGCCCAGGGGACGCCCAGATGTTTTGATGTTTTTACCATCCCTGTGGGAGGCTTCTCTCATGTCCCTGCATGAGGAGCTGGAACTGTTAGAGGGAGCTCATCCGCGTTCTCCCCGGATTCGAACCTGCGACCTGCCGGCACAGGGGTTTAACCCACTGTGCCACCGGGGGCTCCTTAAATATACATAACAACACAGCACACATGCAAAACTGTCTGGGGTTCATCTCTAAATGTCAGGCTCTTCCCAAGGGCCTAGGATATTGAAGGTATTATTACATGATTATTATTATTATTATTATTATGCTATAATTATAATATATATTATCATATTATAACTATATTATTATTATTATTATTATTATTATTATTATTGCATACATAACACAGCACACATGCACAAGTGTCTGGGATTAGTATCTGAATATCAGGTTCTTCCCAATGGCCTAGGATATTAAAGATAATATTAGATTATTATTATAATAATAATATATTTATGTTATAGTATTATTATTATTATTATTATTATTATTATTATTATTGTATTACATGTACATAACAACACAGCACACATGCACATTAGGTCCAAGTAACCCCAGGTATTATATTATTATTACATTATGTATTCTTATTATTATTACAGAATGTGCACAGTTCCATGAAGTGCTGCCTTCCTTCTGCAGCATATGGACTGATGTTCTGTCCAAATTAAGGCTATCATCATTATCATCATCATCTTTATTTATACTCCGCCTTTTTCTCCGTGGAGACTCAAAGCCACTAACATTCCCACACTTAGTCAAGTTTAAAAAGCACAATGCAAAAGTTTTATGAAAAACCATCAAATAGTAACAGTGTAATAAAGAGATTTCATCCTGAAAGCAAACATGTATCCTTTCTTCTTCTGCAGTCCCTCCGAAAATGACAAGATCGTGATGGGAGGTCAATCTTGCCACCATTTTGAGAAGGAATGAAAAGGGGAAAACTGGGCCATTTGGAAGTTGCACAGGGGTCTAGGGCACCAGTGAAGTATTTTGGGGTGTTTTGACCATTTTAGGGATTTCTGCATGGGTGGGGAGGAGGTTGAGTATTGACTTAAATTGCATTGAATTTTCTTAAGTGTGTGAGGGGATTGGTGGACTTCAAGGACCACAAAAGTGGGATCCAGAAAGTTCACAGGCTCCATGCTGTCCAATAAGGTTTCCAAACTCTGGTCTAGATTCAGACAGGTTTTTAGAGCTGCCACAAAGGGGAGATGGAGCAACACTTTGGTCAGATGGAAAGACGGCTCCCGGCACTCATAGACGCTCACCTCCTTTTTTGCCAATCCTCCCATCGAGCACTTTCTCAATTGTTTCGCTGTTGTCCTGCTGCTCTTCGACTCCTTCTCCAGTCATCTCAATCAGGTCATCGGAATCGGTCTCAAAGTCATCATCCTCTTTATAACTATGCAAAGAAGCAAGAAGAAATGACAGATTAGGTGCGTTCCGCAATCTTAGGAAATATCGTACCAAAAGAAGAGATTGTTCCTGAAATACAGCTGAAGGAGACAACACCACAAAGTGTGACTCTAGAATGAAGTGTGATTTCCAGCTAGAGCAGGCATGGGCAAACTTTGGGTCTCCAGGTGTTTTGGACTTCAACTCCCACCATTCCTAACAGCTTAAGCGGCTGAGGGGGGAAAGGAAAAGGCCTGAGGCTGTTAGGAATGGTGGGAGTTGAAGTCCAAAACACCTGGAGACCCAAAGTTTGCCCATGCCTGAGCCAGAGATTCTCCAACTCATCTTCTCCCTGACACGATGAACCCCAGCCAGCTTTACCTGACATTTTTGGCCGCTCGCCGCCGGGTCTGCCTTTTGGGCGCTTCATCATCATCGTCATCATCATCATCCTCAGAGGACTCCGTTTTCCTTCGCCGCTTCCCACGTTGGGGCCTAAGGGCTTTCTTTGCAATCGTTTTGACCACTGCTCTAAAATAAGCATCAAACAGAGAGATTTCTAATCCATGGGGTGTAAACAGTGAGGTTGAAGTTGTGAGGACCTCTGGATGGAGAAGCCTTTTTCCCTCTGAACTTGCTTTCTTTAGAAGACATTTTGCAAAATCTCACATGACAGCTGAAGGGTTTAAGGAAGTGGTTCCCAACCTGCGATCCGTGGACCACCTGTGGTCCGCAAGAACTAAAATATGGTCCGCGGCCTCATCATCACTACTACAGATAATAACACAGCCCAATTTTTTTTTCTAGGTGTCTTCGTTTTTAGGCCTGTTTTTGGGCTTATTTGGGGTGTTGATTCAGAAAATTGCATTGGATAATAATAATAATAATAATAATAATAATAATAATAATAATATTTATTATTATTATTTACTGCYCTTATATACCGCAATTCTCAGCCCTTCAGGGCGACTCATTGCGGTGTACAACATGAAGAAAACAAGTGCAAAACAAGACATAGTGCAAAACAGTGTACAATTCATCCTAATCATAAAAACATCTTATCAAACAACAACATCACTACAAAATCACTACTACATTCCGAGTCGTCTCATCGTCAAGCCACAATCCGATCTCTTTTCCAGTGTTGTTGTTATTATTATTATTATTYTTATTATTATTATTATTATTATTATTATTATTATATTACTAGCCGTCCCCRGCCACATGTTGCTGTGGTCTACCTGGGGGTTCTGTGTGGGAGGTTTGGTCCAATTCTATCATTGGTGGGGTTCAGAATGCTCTGTGATTGTAGGTGAACTATAAATCCCAGGAACTACWAGTCCCAAATGACAAAATCAATCCACCCCCAACCCCACCAGTATTCAAATTTCGGCGTATTGGGTATTTGTGCCAAATTTGGTCCATTGAATGATGRAGGTGAACTACAACTCCAAAACCAAAGGACACTGCCCACTAAACCCTTCCAGTATTTTCCGTTGGTCACAGGAGAACTGTGTGCAAGTTTGGTTCAATTCCATCGTTGGTGGGGTTCAGAATGTTCTTTGATTGTAGGTGAACTATAAATCCCAGGAACTACAAGTCCCAAATGACAAAAATCATTTTTTTAAAGTGAAGGTTGTTAGGTGTCTTGTGTCCAAATTTGGTGTCAATTTGCCCAGTGGTTTCTGAGTTCTGTTAAGCCCACAAACAAACATTACATTTTTTATTTTTATAGATTATAATATTATATAATATTATTATTAATATAATAATAATATTATAATATAATATTATTATGTTATTCGTCTCCCCGAACAACAACATAAAAACATAGAGTCACAACATGAACAAAAAAATAACAGTAACAGCAACATAAGCATGGAATTACCCAACAACACATCAATATTAAAAGAAAAAAATCCTGCCTGCTCTTCAGGTCTATTTGTTAGGGCATGGAAAAGGAATGGGTCAGAACAATTAAAAAGGCTGGGTCAAGACTGATACAAATTGAAATAAGATGGGACCGGCATTTGGGTATAGTACTGTAATAGGTAAATGACAACAGCGAGGATGGGCTGTTTCCAGGGGCCTGTAACGAGAATGATCAGGGTAATATATCGGGGCCTAGTTCATGTCCGGACAGTGTCTGGGCTGAGCTAGCATTGGTCACTCTCAAAGATTTGTTGAAACCACCAAGTCTTCAAACTCTGACAAAAAGAGGGGAGGGATGGGGCCTGTCTTATTTCCCTTGGAAGGGCATTCCAAAGGGAGGGGGCCACCACTGAGAAGGCCCTCTCTCTCCTCCCCACCAACCGTGCTTGTGACAGAGGTGGGAGTGAGAGGAGGGCCTCCCCGGAGGATCTTAGAGTTTGTGCAGGTTCATAGATGGAGATGCGATCGCGAGGATTATTGAATATGGTTTTCTGTGGGCAAGCAGATGGTGACTACTAGGTGGCATATTTTCAGTATCAGAAACTAGAGCTGAGGTGGTCTATCCAATGCCATTTTCTGAATCAGCACCCCAAATAACCAAACCAAATCCGAAGTTGACCAAAAACAGACTCATAACCCTTTTGGTACTAATGTTGGAGAGTGGTCCCTGGTGAAGTGGTCCCTGGTCAAAAAAAGGTTGGGAACCACTGGTTTAAGGGGTCCATGTAATCAGTGCAGTGTACTGGTCTGAGTTCAAGGAAGACTGGGATTCAAATCCCCACTTGGCCATGGAAACCCACCAAATAGTCATGGGCAAGCTCTCAAGGGAAGATAATGGCAAGCCTTCTCTGAAAAAGACCTTGCCAAGAAAGTCCCATGATAGGATCCACCTTGGGGTCGCCACAAGTTGGAAAAGACTCAGTGATAACACAATGATAACAACACAAAAGTCCAAGGAATTCATTTCCCCACGTTTGGTCCCCTTCTCCTTTATTCGCTGAAGTTGCAGATGGGGAGATGACACCCAAATCTGGTGTGGGTTGAAACCATCTATGACAAGCATGGGCCAACTTCAGCCCTACAGGTGTTTTGGACTTCGGCTCCCACAATTCCTAACAGCCAGTAAGATGGCTGGGATTTCTGGGAGCTGGAGTCCAAAACACCTGGAGGGAGGGTCGAAGTTTGCTCATGCCTGGTCTATGAGGTTGGGCTGCACCCAAATCATTAACCTCACCCCATCTTTGGGGAAAAGATTAAAAAGGATATTAGAGCTATTTCAGGGGCTAGCCATTTTTTCCCCAGCTTGCCAGGAATGGACAACATATTCATACATATTGGCAACAACAGCAACACCAGGGAACAAGAGTCAATAGGTAAAGGTCTTTATTAGTCCAAGAAGAGAAACTGCAAGAAGAACCAATCTTTCAAGATTACTTATGGCAATCTAGTCAAGGAGACTTCTATTGAGGTTTCTCTGCATCTGGACCCTCCAGTTCCACCTCACCTCCTCAGGACAGGTCTCCTGGCTCTGACTTTCTTCTGCTCAGGTTCACTGTCAGCACTGGTCTCTTGTTCCTGTCCATCTTCATCTTCATCATCATCCTCAGTCCCATCCGTCTTCCATTTGTCTCTAAAGATGAGGGAGAAAAGCCAAACTGAATATATCAACATCTTCTCCTTCTAAGATGCTACCATTAGCTGTACAATTAATATTACTATTAGTAATACTAATAAATCCCATTTATATTGTATCATTAGTAATCCATATCATCCCTGGAAGCAAACAGACATGATCCTGAATCCTCACCTTTTCCTCGTTGGCTTCTGGCTTCTTCTTTTGGGGCTTTCGCTCTCGGATTCACTATTTCCCTTGAAAGAAAGAAGAGAGGAAGGGAATAAACAGAGGCTGGTGGGAAGTCGAAGATCCTCCCGTTCGGTGTCCTTGAACGCCAGAAAACAGTCAGAAGCAATTCCATGTCACACTTAAATCCATAAAAGCAATGCCAGGCTGTACAGACCCCAAATGGTAAGATAATATCCCTTTTGCTGTAACCACAATACTCAATCATGAAGGTTTTCAAAGACACAGTCCACCAATAACAATGATTCGACCAGGAAAAGAAAACCCAACATCTCTTACAACCAGTATCTCTTAATTCTGCTTTATCTGATCTGCTGATTGTAATAAATTTTTCACTTAATTCTGCTGGAACTCATGTTTTTACCAACAGAATAGAAGCATTAAGGCCAAGAGGAGAAGCATTGGTAGCAGTATAGTAGTAGTAGCAATGATTACTACAGGCTGATGTCCAGTAATCCGAAACTCTCCCCAAACCTAAAACTTTACCTTTGGGGAAAGGGGGCTAGTTACACATCCAGTGTCTGCTTCTACGTAGATGTAAACGCAGGTGTTGCAAAATCCGAAAGACCTGAAATCCAGACAACTTCTGGTCCCAAGCATTTGGGCTAAGACACATTCACCCTGTATTGCGATGATTTTATTTATCAGATCAGAAGCCAATCAAGGGTACAGTTTTGCGATGTGATTATGATCTTTTATTTATATCTGACCTTTCCCCCAAAAAACAAAAGTAAGGCATAGTACAGCATGTGTGGTGCAGTCGTCTGGAGTGTTGACAAATGCCTCAAGGTTCCCCAGCAATGGAAACCCATCAAGTGACCTTGGACAAGTGACACACTATCAACTTAAGAGGAAGGCTAAGGGAAAACCCTCCTGAACAAATCTTACAAAGAAACCCCATTGACGGAGTCACTGAAACGCATGAAAGCCAGCAAAGTGTAGTGTTGAGTGTAGGATTCGAAAAGTGAACTCCACCATGGAAACTCACTGGGAGACCTTGGGAATGTTGTCCCATTCTCTCAGCATCAAAGGAAGGCAAAAGTAAACACTCTCTAAAGAAATCTTGCCAAGAAAGACTAATAGCAGAGTCACCTTAGGGTTGCCACAGGTTAGCAAGCGCGGAAAGCACACAACAACAGGAACAACAACAACAATGCAGCTTACAAAACAATACCAAACATACAATTAAAATCTCAACAAGATCCCCATATCCATGAGGGATGCACTCCTATCTGGATCATAGTTATCTGAAACTGCAGGTATGATTTCTGTCTGATTTCTGGTTCCAGATGTGCTTAAGGACCTGAAGATACCTACAGTGGTATCCTCTCTAAGAAATTGTGAGGTCTTCCAATGTGACTCTACAGCAGTTGTTTTCAATGAGTGGGTCCCCAAGTGTTTTGACCTGCAACTCCCAGAAATCCCAGCCAGTTTACCAGCTGATAGGATTTCCGGGAGTTGAAGGCCAAAACATCAGAGAACCCACAGGCTGAGAACCATTAGAATCACAGAATCATAGAATCAAAGAGTTGGAAGAGACCTCATGGGCCATCCAGTCCAACCCCCTGCCAAGAAGCAGGAAAATTGCATTCAAATCACCCCTGACAGATGGCCATCCAGCCTCTGTTTAAAAGCTTCCAAAGAAGGAGCCTCCACCACACTCCGGGGCAGAGAGTTCCACTGCTGAACGGCTCTCACAGTCAGGAAGTTCTTCCTCATGTTCAGATGGAATCTCCTTTCTTGTAGTTTGAAGCCATTGTCAGTCTCCATGGAAGCAGAAAACAAGCTTGCTCCCTCCTCCCTGTGGCTTCCTCTCACATATTTATACATGGCTATCATATCTCCTCTCAGCCTTCTCTTCTTCAGGCTAAACATGCCCAGTTCCTTAAGCTGCTCCTCATAGGGCTTGTTCTCCAGACCCTTGATCATTTTAGTCGCCCTCCACTGGACACATTCTAGTTTGTCAATAGATCACCTACCAGACACATGGAGGCATTATTTGCAGGCTATTGCATAAGGAGGTACTGAATACTTCCTTTTGCAATGCCCACAAAATGCAAAGACTGGCCTTTCGGAGGGTTATTATTGTTTTTTGATAAGGCATCAACTTGTTGCCTATTGTAAGGTCGCTCTAAGTCCCCTTCAAGGTGAGAAGGGTGGGGTTCAAATACAGGAAGTAAATAAATAATGCCACAATTAATAACAGATGGAATTCAAGGCCAAAGGAGAAGATGATGCCAACACAGCAGGAGGAACATTACGAGGGAACAAAGAGGTCCAGCTCACAAGGTGATCTAGCAAGAAGATCCCTCCAAGGTTCTTCCAGCTGTAGAGGGTAGGAAGCATTTTCCCATCTTGGTTTGAAAATGCTACTTTGGAGACAACAACTCTTCATTCCCTGGCATGGGAACCTATTGTCCAAAAACCTTAACTTTTCCAAACTCAGTCAAGGTGGGTATTGTTCCCTTTCCAGAAGGGAAACAAGCATTCTTTTCTGGTTTTTACAATATTGTGTGGTGTGGTTCAGTTTATGGATTGATTTGATATCACTAGCATAGTGCATGATGGGCAATCATTAGAGAAAAACGCACACCAGGGATTCTGGTATATGCAATTCTTGGGAAAAGGAAAACAAAAGCCAATATCACTGATACACTCATCCCTATGAGATCTGACCCTTCAGGACACTCTTTAATGTTGTGCAACACCAGTGGACTGCAAGCCCTTTATGGAGTTGTGAGTTCAAGGAAGTACAATACAACCTCGGTATCCATAAGACCGGTATCCACAATTTAATTTATCTATGATGGACGAAATATTACTCTCTAGGTAATTCACCATCCTTTTTACCTATGAGTTTTAAACTCACATCTTGTGTTTACTGTATTTTAATCTTTGTTCTGTGTATTTTATTACATGTATTTCATAGAAATACATTTCATACAAGCATTTTATTAAATGTTTGATGATGATGTGTTTTTAACTATGTGGTGCCCCACCTTGAGCCATGAGAAGTGGGTAAGGAAAGAATATTGTTGTTGTTGCTATTTTCTAGATCCTCCAGAGTGTCTCTGCGGTGTTCTTCGGCCAGATGTTCTTCTCCTTCAATTGTATTCGCTATTATCCACAGCTTTGTGTGTCCACACAATGTCCAGGAATGTTTCCACTTATTATGGCCCATTGACACTACACAATGAGAGCACTATTATTCTACTGCCATCCTATTCTACTGCAGTCCCATCCTAGGGAACCCTGGGATTTGTAGGTTGGTGAAGCTATGCCAACAATCTTAAAATCACAAAATGAGAAGGGGTCCCACAGATCATTGAGTCGAAGCTTACATTAAATGCATGAACACCAGCTAGCTCCCAACAGGGAGCTCTCCTGCCTTTCTTTTTGAAGACGTCCAGAGAAAGAGATCTCAAAATCTTTCTAGGCAATTGGTCCCATTGTTGAACTGCTCTTCTTGTCTGTAGCTGTAAACCATTAGGCCTGATTCTTCCCTACAGGGCAGCAGAAAACAAGCCTTCGTTGTCTTCCCTGGGCAACTCCCAAACAGGATATGCATTGATCCCACTTCAAGGGACAGAACTTCAACCAAATCTTCGACTCATGGAAATATCCACCAATGTGTCCTAATTCTGAATGAACGATGCTCCAAAAACTCACAGAGCTGGAAAGTGACATATGGACCATGTCCAATGCAAGATCTCCAACTAGAGCAGAACTTCCCAAACTAGAACAGAACTTCCCAAACTCAGGTATTCCAAATGTTTTGGACTTCATCTTCAAAATCCCTGGAAACTGACCAGCTGAAGCTTCTGGGAGATGACTTCTAAAACACCTGGAGGATTCAAGTTTGGAAGATGTCCAGAGAAGGAGGCCTCACCATCTCTGTAGGTAATTGGTTCCACAGACGAACTGCTCATACTATCAAGTTCCTCCTAATGTTCAACCTAAATCTACTCAACTGTAACCTAAAAACATAAGGATTGGTCCTATCCTTTGGGCTGGCAGACAACAAGCCTGCCACCCAATCTCAGTGCCAGCCCTTTTGATATTTAAAGAGGGCAGTCATGGAATTGTTGAGTCTTCTCTTCTCTAAGCTGAACATGGTCAGATCCTTCAACCTTTCCTCAGACACTTTGCTCTCCAACCCTCTTATCATCTTGCTCCAACTTATCCATATCCTTCTTAAAATTCCCAGAACTAAAACAAGGACTCCAGGTGAGGCCAAATAAGCATGGAATATAATATGTGGTTGCCTCAACTTGGATGTTCCCTCAACTTGGAAGTTGAGGGAAGTCATTATTCTCTTAACTTCCAACAATTAATAGTGATTATAATATGATGTGTCTACTTGACGAACTCCTTATACACCAAAACTTCATATTGAGTACTTTGCCTGAGTATACAAACACAACCAGAACAACAACAAGCCCTGGTTATGATGCATACCTAGGGTTTCGTCACTTGTACAGTGAAACAAAGCAAATCCTTAAGGAAGACCTTCAGCTCTTTTGGATGGCCAAAAGTCATAAAGGCCTATATTTTGAGGCAAAATGTTCAAGTCTGGGTGCCGGGCGCTAGGCACCTAAATCCATATATAGGCACCCAAGTATAAATGGACCCATTTTGAGAGGACTCCTGCAAGAGGGAGGAGCGGGTGCCGCTTATCTTTTGAGGTGCTTGAATATACATTTAGGTGCCTACCTTTGGACTTCCAACTTTGACATTTTCAGTCTGATTCTGAACTTTCCTGGGCCTCATTACCTCCGTCTGTAAGAAACAGAAGGGGAAAGCAACGCTGATCCTTCCTCGAAACCGGCAGGGTGGGAGTTGTGCGAGGCGAAGAGGGACAATAAAACTGAAATGAAGCCACTCGAAAAAATAAAATCACAGTCACATTCCATTACTGGACCATCCCTAAAAAGACTTGATGGAAAGAAGGGAGATGGGAAGGAAAAGTCGAGTCACCTCCGGGCTGAGAGGGGCGGCACAGAAATGCAGTAAATAAATAAGGAAAATGCCTCGCGGAACAAATGACGAATCTAAACTGGGTTCATGCAGACGACTATCCCCACACACAAAAGGGAAAAAAGAGATGTCAAGAGACGACTATCCTCAAACACAAAAGGAAAAGAAATGAATTAATGGAATGAGGAACACCAAAAGAACACATACATTTAACATGCACATGAATGCAACTCCATGCTCGCCCTGGAGTTCTCGGCCTTCCCTCTTTTGAATGCAAATAGGTACAGACTTGTGTCACGTTTAGACCATTGAACCATAAATGTACTGATTCATGTTCGGGTCGTATAGAAGAAACAGTGGAAATGGTGCCACTGACATCTCCAGGTTTTCAAGGCCACAGAGATCAAGAATGGCATGTCTCTTCCCGTTTCCTACCATGAAGGATTATTCCCCGCTCTTCGCCTTCCCCACCCCTTACCTCTTCATTTATATTAAAACGGGAGGGCTCCTGCCTGCTTCGGTTTGACCTCCTCACCCCATAAACATCGGGATATTCTTCCCACATCTGCAAAATAAACCAGATTTGTATTTGCACGCCGTTCTTCATCCCAAGAATGTAGGGTGATCAATGGGTGATTTCTCTAGTTTGGTTTCATGAAGATGCTGCAAGGTAGGTTTGCTAGGAGACTAGTCGAAAGGTTTCCCAAGTATTGAGAAGGATTTTGAACCCAGGTCACCCTAGTTCACACAACTAGGAGTTTTGAAGGATTCAAATGCCCAGTCATCCATGGAAACCCACTGGGAGACCTGGGACTCTCTTAGGGTGCATCTACAATGGAGAATTAATGGAGCTCGGCACTATTTCAATTGCCATGGTTCAGTGTTATGGAACCATGAGAGTTGTCTTTAGTTTTCTCTGCGAATGAATGCTGGAGGCTCACCAAACCAGGGTTCTATAGTATCGAGCCATCATGTCAAACTGTATTAAATCTACAGTGTACATCAGTGGTTCCCAACCTGTGGTTTGCGGACCACCAGTGGTCCACATGAACTAAAATATGGTCCGCAGTCTCGCTGTTACTACACCATTGCAACAAAAGCGACTAGTCTCACGAAACCCTCTTTTAGTGCCAAGGCAATGATGATGTTGGAGAGGAGAGGCAGAGTACCCACGAAAGGGGTGTCTTCATTTTTAGGCCTGTTCCTAGGGTTATTTGGGGTGCTGATTTGGAAAATTGAACTGGATAGACCACATCAGTTCTAGATTATTAAATATTGTTTTCTGTGGGTGAGCAGATGACAACTACTGGATGGCACATGTTCTGTATCAGAAACTAGAGGTGATGTGGTCTACCTAAGGCAATTTTCTGAATCAGCATCCCAAATAACCAAACCAAATCTGAAGTTGACCAAAACTTGATTCGTAACCATTTTGGTACTAATGTTGGAGACTGGTCTCTGATCAAAGTGGTCCCTGGTCAGGTGGTCCCTGGTCAGAAAAAGGTTGGGAACTACTGGCGTAGATGCACTCTTAGCCTTAGAGGTAACCTCCTCTAAACAAATCTTGCCAAGACAACCTTCTGATCATTTGGGCTATTAGTCAGAAATAGGTAACATGAAGACATGCAACAACACCAACAAAAATCATCCCGGATCAGGTCCAACACCAAACGCTCAGAAGGCATGGAAGACACCAACTCATGTCAACAAAATTAGTAGCTCTGTTCACATATTCTTTGGGTATTCCACTTGCTTCATCCATAGGAATGAATAATTAATTACCAAGACAGAGAAAAATGTGAAGGAAGACATAACTCCCAGGATCTTGGGGACATATCACTAGAACACTGTCTAGGCAGCATAGATAAATAAAATGCCTTCAAGATAAAGCACTGGAAAGGATTATGCTTTTGAATGCAACTCCCCAAATCTCAGTCTACACAGGCATGACCGTAACAGGGATTCTGGGAGTTACAGTCTTAAAAATTGCCTTTTTCAAAGCCTGCCAAAAAGCGTTGATGAAACCAAAGCTGGTCCAGCTTCCTACTTCCAACAATGCACCACTTCTGGATAGCGCCAGTTGTGCAAAATCCTTTCTGAGTGTTGCATGCCCTACTTCATGCCGCAGACTCTCATTGATACAGGTTGAGTCTCCTTTATCCAAAATGCCAATGTTTTCAGTTTTGGATTGTTTAGATTTCAGAATATTTGCACATACATAGATAACACTATGTAATGAGTTTTTCAGTTTAATAAACTTCTGCAACTTTTTAAAACTTTTGTGCAGGCAACAAAGTGTGTGCACCACCAGAAAGCAAAGGTGCCGCTATCTCAGCCATTCGTGGGGACCATTTTGGAATTCCAGATAAGGGATGCTCAACCTGTAATTTAATTCACTCAAAGTATATAAAAGTGGGAGCAGTTTCTAAGATTTTTGGGCCATTGGTGAGTCATGGCTGCAAACAATGGTTGGGAACACGAGATGGAGGAGGCAAGGAGCATACTTTCTTGACATCAGCTATCCTTTCTTTCTTGGAGGCCGGCTTATCTTTGGCTTCCGGAGGCGTCTGCTGGGATTTCGACCCTGTCGACTCGCTTTCAGATTCCGACTGGCTTTCTGAGCTTTCCAAGCTGCTATTGGACTCGCTGCCATGTTCGCTGGCTTGCTCGCTATCGGATGGGCTTGCTGAATCCGATCCCGAAGCCTCCTCTGATGCCGAGTGG